AGGAGGAGGTTCTCAATTCGTCTGTATATAATTTTTTTATGTATGTTCAGCGATAATTCTTTAACACAATGTCCGATTTAAATGATTTTTTTTGCTGGATAGGGGGTACTTCCGGGATGGTCCCATATAAATTTGGTCAAAATCTAATAATTGGGTCGATGAGAAAATCCTTAAACTTTTCATTTTTTATGTATGTTTAGCGATAATTCTTTACCACCTTGTTCGATTTCTATAATTATTTTCGTTAGCAAGGGGGTACCTCAGGGGTGGTCCCATAAAAACTTGGATAAGATGTGGTGATGGCATTTGCACGATTTTAAAGTCAGTTTTTTAAAATTACTTTTAATACTTATTACGTAAATTAAAAGTTTAATAATTTGGTGCTTTCTTGATGCGTCGTTTTATGATTTCACTTTGTATATGTTTAAGTACAAATAATTATTATTACTGGCAGTTTATTTTAAATCATTAAAATAATATTTTGTTGAACTGAATATTTTTGAACAAAAATATGGTACGCCACTGCTTTTTCTAAAAACCAAAATTATTTTTAAAATCCTTATTTATTTTGGAGCAAATTTGATTTTTAGACATACTTTCGTACGACGCACCCTTTTCGCGTAAGAAAATATTTTGTTGAAATTTGGTAGGAACCCACCATGAGTGGAAACACTTTTTTTGGGCAAAATTTCATAAAAATATCTAGAGTGATAAGAAACTTATGATAAAATAGTTATTTTTTTCTTAAAACTTTAACACCTAAGGATTCACACCCTTAAGTATCGGCACTCAATTAATAAATACCCTGTATTAATTGATATTACCTTATTCGAACCAATCGTCTATTTTTTCGTTATTTGTATTTATATTTCACAACTCTATACTCCTAAATCTAATTTAATCTAACTAAACCTATTCACTAAATTAAAATATAAAAATAATGTAAAACTCTCTAAAAAATCGAACTGCGTTATAACAATATCGCAATGCACCGAGAAAAACAAATACGATTCTGGGTTCCCCTAATTTAGGTAACTCTGACTCACTCATTGTATAAATATATCGTAGTAGGATTTTTCGGTTCCTTTGTCTTAACTTCGCGCGTTACAGTTTGGAATACGTATCCCTCGTATCTACATGCAATTGTTAAAATTATGAATGAATGCGGATTTTGTTTAGTCTCGGAAGTAATTTTGTAGTATTTAGGCTCCACCCTTAAATTGTAACTTTTATACCTACTAAACTACCGTTGCCCCGCAGGTCTTTCAGTTTGTAATGTACATTTTCCTCTTAAGATGTATTTTAAAAAAAAATATGAACTTTGAGTTGAAAATGAGTGCTTAGTGTGGAATAATAGAATAATTATTACAAAAGAGAGTTTTGCAGGAACTTCATCAAACACATTTTGTCAAAATGAAGGGTATTGCTAGAAGTTATTTCTGGTGGCCGAAAATGGATAAACAAATAGAAAATGTGGTAAAAAATTGTGAAATTTGTGGCGTAATTAGTCCATCTCCTCGAAAAGCTAAGTTATCTTTTCCTTTTAAATGGCCTGAAAAAGTCTTCGACCGGGTACACATAGATTTTTGTGGGCCATTTTTAAATAAAATGTTTTTTATTTTTGTTGATGCTCATTCAAAATGGCTAGAGTGTTTTGTGATGCAATCTTTGACTAGTCAAGTTACCATAAAAATACTACGATCAATATTTTCACGATTTGGTTTACCAAAACAACTCGTTTCTGACAATGGCACATCTTTTTGCTCAGAAGAATTTTCAAAATTCCTAAATTCAAATAATATAGAACATATCTTTTTCACCACCTTATCATCCCCAGTCTAATGGCCAAGCAGAATCTAGTGTAAAAATTGTTAAAAATGCTTTAAAAAAATTAGTTTTTGAAAATAAGTCTCATAGTGATCTTGATTGTCAGTTTCTTTTTGATTATAGAAATTCGATACACTCCTCCACTGGTGTTACACCTTCAGAACTTATTTTTAGACATAAAGTAAATACTAGATTTAGTTTAATATCAGCAAATAATAAAATTAAAATAAAAGTCGAAGAAGGTCAAACCAAACAAAAATAATACTTTTCAGGTAATAGAATTTTAGATATTAAAATTGGAGATAATGTATTAGCTAGGGGATATAAAAATAATAAAGAATCCTGGAAAAAAGGAAAAATTGTACAATTAATAGGAAAAAAGTATATGAAATTTATATTCCAGAGTTAGATATGAAATGGAAACGACATCTTGACCAAATAAATTTTTTTAATAATAATTCTTTGCCGACAAGTGCAGTAAATCTGTCTGCTGCTGTGGAGTTAAAAAGCCAAGATGTAGTTTCAGCGGTCTCTAGACCTAAAAGATTAATTAAACCACCAGAAAATGCAAGTATCTTGCTCCATTATTAGTGTCATCAAAAAAAATGGTCCTACGATTCTATCGCGTATTATTCAGGCCCACACATTAGTTTTCTGTAGGAGCTGAGTATGAAGTTCTCTCATCCAATGGGGGTGCTCTGCAGCCCAATAACGACAGTTTGAGCGATTTACATCTAATGTAAAAATAGCCTCGTCAGAGAAAAGAATCTAGTCTAAAGATAAATGGCTTTGATCAATACGAGTTATCAACACATCGCAAAATTCCAGTCGTCGATCTGGATCTTCTTCTAGTAGCTCTTGGACAGTCTGCATTTTATATGGGCGTTTTTCTCATATTTAGGTATTTTTATAACCGTTTTGTGATTAAGATTACTATCACGGGCCAGTTGACGGGCTGGAGTGACTGAATCTTCTTCTAGAACAAGCAACAAACTTCATGTTGTCATTGACAACAGCTTGCCTCTTTCTCGGTACTTTTCTGACATAACCCATTCCTCGATATTGTGCCTCTATTTTACTAATATTACCTTGATTTATTGGTGGCAAGTCAGGATGCGACTCTCGAAACAGGCGAACAACTTCGCTTTGAGTTCGCATTCTACCATATCCAATCATCATCAAAATTTCGATCTTTACCGTTTCAGTTAAAGAATAAGACATTTTCACCAGTTTGCAACAACATTTCGTTTCGAACGCTGAATACTGCAACTACATAACTACAAACTAAATTTCTCTTTGCGGATGTGTAGAACAGAAGTAAAAGTTGGAAATGCTTTTGCCAGTTCTCCCACTTTATACACATAAATTGACAGGTTGGCACCGGATCTCACCGAAGTGGACGCGATACATTGGCGTACAAAATTATTTTATAGATTTTAATAACAATTTCGAGTAAATAGTTTAATAAATTGTGAATAGCTGTTGAAATTTTGTAAAATTATAATTTGAATATTATAATACATGTTTAATAATTATTTATAATCCATAAATACATGCGATTGTCCGGTTCCGCCGATAACAATTTAAAATTACTTATTCTATGAAACGACACTGGCAGGTAAACATTACTGTGAAATTCTCGGAGCCGCCCGACGTGGTTTGACGTTTACCCCCTCTCTACCTACCAAAAGACTTTTCAACTTTTACTTTCTCTATATAAACATTAGCAAAAAATAGCAAATACCAGTTGTGGCAAAAAATGGTTTGGAATTTTTTGTGAGTACATCTAAAAAGTAAAGTTAACATTCCAAAACTAAACAACAAACATTTTCAGCAATTGTTAACTTTGAAAATAAATTAAACTTTTAGATTACGTTTTGATTTTATGCAACCCCAAAACGCACTAGAAAATAAAATTTGATAAGTATGCTGGATTCCTCGTTCCATCAGCTTTGCAATGAAGGGTCACAAGCCACAGGGTTTCATTTGAAAAAAACATGTTGAGGGTGGTTTCAGCTACCACCGAAGGGCTGTATTTTTTCAAATTGCTTGCAAAATGTAGGTAAATATATTAAAACATTGACGTGTCTCGGGAAATTTTAGAAAAATTATTCAACTTCCCACTAGCGAATTTATTCCAGTTAAAATCTCCACCCTGTATATTGTACTCCTGTTAAAAACATTTACATCGGTAAACACTAATATTAACTTTTGTGAATAGTTTTCTGTAATCTAATGAGTTGTCTGGGTAAATTGTTCTTCAGAACATAGCCCAATAAAAGAATGAAGAAGAAGAAGACCCTATAGTTAAAATAACTATTTGTGTATTAAGAGCGAAAAGTGATAATCTTCCGCTTAAGACAGAAAGTTGCCCGCACGACGCGTAGCGGAGCGCGGCAATCTATCGAAAGCGGCAATGAAATTTTCCTCTAAATGTACACAATATTTTTTCTACGATCACACCTTTTTAATAAATAGATATAAAAACTGAAAATTTGTCGTAAGTAGTGTATAATGTGTTGCCTATATATAGAGTGGCGAAAACGCCCCTAGTAGGGCTAAGCCGGTGATCGCTCTCTATAATCATATTTTCGGTGGATCAATCCCATTCTCTTAGATAATACTCTTTACAATGTCCCTCCATTTTTCTCCTGTACTTTTTCTTGCCAATTATTCACTCCTGCCTTGCGTAGATCATCTTTCACTTCCTTCAGCTATCCTAATCTGGGTCTTTCATGTCTCCTCCCTCCGAGGTCCCATTGTGAAATTGAATGAACCAAATATGTTCATTTTCCTGCTCTCAAAACGTGTCCCTATCATCTAACTCTGGATTGTTTTTTTTTTGTTATTATATATTCTTCTATGTCTTGTTTAATTTCTGGGTTTATTCTAATTTTTTATTATTCTTCTGTGATTTTTATTGGTCCCTATACCTAAAGTTAATCATGGAAAAAGCAGTTGATATTCAAAGTCCATGTTAACTTGGAAAATATAACAAAAAAACATCTAACTACGTACAAATAATTTGAAAATCATTTATTAAAAGGAAATATTATTGTATTTGCCATTAGATTTCAAATCGCAAAAGCCTACTTTGGACAGTGATCGTAGAAAAAAGCTATTTTTTAAATTTTTTTATTACACCAGAAAGTGCTTATCTACTAAATAATTACCTCTAAAGCATTATCAATTGCATCATATTGTTTTTTGGATGCGTTTACAGCTTCTTTCAAACTTTCCGATAACACTTGTCTACTGGCCAAAAATTCCTGCGTGAGTTCCTTCAGATGTTTCTCTTTCTCAGACAATTTTTCTTTGAGGTCAGGTATCTGCAAGAAAAAAAAATATTATAATGGGTATGTGTGTAAATGTGAAGTAGTTTGGTTGCCACACAGTTTTATTTTATAAATTTCTATTGCTAGACTTAATATTGACTTTATATTTTTGTATAATTAATTACAGCGTTTGCATTTAACATTAACTATTCCAAATTGTTATCTCAGATAAACAAATGAATAATAGATAAGTAATGGTCTGGATGTGTTTGAAGCTAATATGAACCGTTTTATCTATTACTTTCTCTTTCTTCCTGGTCTTTGATGTGATTCGTCTATTTTAAATACCAGCGCCAATTACTCACAACTGTCAACAAGCATTTGGGAACTGTCAGTTTTGTTTGTACATTTTTTGTGATTTTATATTCCCACGGCATATTTTTAAAGTTTTTAGAGTGTCTAGAATGTTTTTTTAACGAATTTTGTTAGTTATTAGTCTAAAAATTATTATTCAATGTTTGTTTGCCCTAAAACAAATTTGGAGAAGTTCCACGTCGTTTCAAAGGTAAGTAAATAAAACACATGGGCGGTACACCTATATTGTAAAATATTATTAGTATTTTTTGACGCAGGTTTCCTACAAACTGAAGCAATGGAAATTTGTATTCAAATCCTAGAGAAGGTTGAAGTTGATAAAATTAACATAAATTGGAAATATAAAATATATTGGAAACATTTTATAATATTATTTTGTTTATAAATGAGAAGTGTTTTAATCTAGAACAAGTCAAAGGGGGCTATTTTCTAACTTTCAGCTGAAAATGCATATCAACGAAAGCGCCAAGCAGACTTCTCAACAAAGTTCGATCACCAAAACGACAAGCATGTGATTATAGTATTCTCTAATGCTAGACGAATTTGCTATTCGTATGTGATTTTAATTTTTGTTAATCTGTCATAATAATTATAAATCGTAAATGCTGATTTGTCTAAATATCTAAGGTTAGTATTTGAATGTCATTTTGACATTATTACAATTATAAACTCAATTAGAATATATTAAGGCCAATTTCAGAATTATAAGGAATCAAAAACAATAAACATCATACATTTGATGACATTTTAATATTCAAGTCATAATATTTAGATATTTGTTGCTTTCCTTTTACCAGAATACTTAGGAAATCTTACTTAGATCGATGTGACCTTGATATTTTGCACGTTCCATTTATAAGTACTAAGTAAAGCAAACTAAGAATTTTTACTCTCCCCTTCCCCCTAATAAGGTTCCTCTCAACCATGCTAAGAAATAAGATTTTTATCTAAGTTAGAAGGGGAGTAAACAAGTTGATGTTTTATGTCACAGATCATAATGTTTTTATGGTCGTTGATTGAGGTTATGCGTAGTTATTATTATTTATTTATGATCTGTTATTTAAATTTCTATTACGAAAAGTTCCTGTTAGAGGTATGGAGAACCAATACGCGTTGCTTCGAAGTACGGAAGGATTTAAGGTTAGAGTTCTGTCCAGAGATAAGACATATGTCTTCTCTCTGGTTCTGTCTTCTGTCAAAATAATACAAGTAAGGTAATTTACTTAAAAGACCGTTCCTTTTGATTATAATTTTCTGGGATAAAATTACTTAGTAAAATATCTGACTGACGTCACATGTAAGTCAAACTAACTAAGTAAATTTGTAAAAGGAAAGCGCCTATAATATTTTAATGTTTGACTTATCTACTTCTAAAAATAAACATTTTTGAATGCGCTTTACTTTTTTAAAATACGAACAGCACAACAAGTAGAGAATACCAAAACGTTTGTGCTTTACACTTTTGCTAGTTGTCGCGTTTATGGAGGGAGCTGAGTGCTTTCAAAAATGCTGGTTAGACAATAATTCCCCATTTTAACTCAGCGAAGTAGAAGGTTTCAGTCTAGAATATCTGTCAATATTCGCTTCTAACATATTTATTTAAGAGATCAAAAATTACATGAGTTAAAATGCATCAGAAGCAGTTGAGGTACCTATGTATCTAGTATGAAACTAAAAATAATTCAATTTGGTGACATATACATTTAAATATAATATGTAGCCCATGCAGAACTTCGGTTCCTATGGGATTTCCATTATATTTCTTTGAAAATAGACACTCCGCTAACCAATTTTGTCCTTTTTTTTTTATTTATAATTATCACTTTTGATACTTTTATATTGTATTTTTTTATTAATTTTATATTGAATTTTATAATTTAATTCTTGTATTGTTTTTCAATTTGCGTTAATTGTATGTTAATACAGTTTTGGCTGAAGCTTAATTGAGTCATATATAAAACATTTTTATCACACAGAAGTTGTACATAGACAAAATTTAATTTATGCGATTTATTAGATGTATACAGGAGGTTTTTCAGACATACCATGTAGGAATAAACTAGCTACATCATACTGGCGTCAAATATCTGGAATTATTAATAATTGCTCTCGTGAAAAATGAATGCATGATACGGATTTTCTATTCTTACATAAGTTGTTAAATGGATATTACAGAAGTTACTTGGCCTCGGCCGTAATTTTCTGATTCGGCCGTAAAAGATCAACTCGATACTTACAGCCTTTGGTACACAAATATCTATTTTAATTCTATAAATGTCATTAAACATTTATGAAAAATGTATTTCTCATCTATAAAATTGTTATTTATGATAAAGAAATATTTTAGTTTATAAGAACAAAAATAAAACCTGAATCGATAACAAATCAATGAAAATGTTGCTAGAGTTTGGGACGTTTTTTTGGAAAAGTGTAATGTTACTATTTTACTAATAAAGCTACAGTTAATTTATCTTAGCATTTTATTTAAATATAAATATATTATCCGAATAAAATTAATGCTGCTAGTCACGGTTTAAAGGCCTCGTCACTTCAACCTTTTTATGCTTCTAGTTTATATGTTTATAAACAGAGATCTATTGTTTCTATTAGGCTTAACAGTCTCCATTAGATCTTTCTTGGAACAAGATTACAGACTATAAATAAGGTAAGTTTCAACAAATTTATAGATTGGTGTCTATCCATTATAAATTACTTTAAAAGCTTATAATATGTTTGCTTATTCTTAAGAAATGATAAAATCTATTACATATCTTTTTTTTATATTTTTAAAAATAAGTAACTGTCTTAATTCCTATTTTTTGACATCCCTCGTATATGCTAAATAAATTTAAATTTATCACTTCAAGTGGTAAGATGCTACCTTTAGGTATATAAGGGAAAAGTAAATTGGATTTTTTTTATTGTTGAGTTTCAGAAATATTAATTTCTCCTGGTTTTAAAATAAGATGAAATGATTAAAACGGACCTGCAAAGGCACTTTGTGCACCAATCTCACCAGTACTCCTGTGACCTAATGGGTAAATTCAGTTCGGCTTACTTTTTTCAATAGGGATTTTTGTTCCATTTTAAATATACAGTTTACTGATATCTACCTATAAACAATATTAACAGTGTAATTATTTGAATTATAAATATCGTTTGTTACATTCGAATAAAAAATAGAATTTAATTTTTGTAAAATGAAATTTTTTGCATAAGTTGCATTGTTCTTTAAATTTGTTATTTACAAAATAATGCTTTGGATTCTGATGAAAAAACTATTTGATACGCCCATGGAGACTACGACTGTCAAAAGTTCGTAGATACTGGCTTCAAACAAAGCCTTTGTAAAACTGCGCCCGTAACACATCTATATTTCATTTGTTTATCTGAGATTGTTATATGTAATGTCGAACTAAATTACTATGATTGACAAATGTCAGACTCAACTGTCATCGGTAACATCCTCATCCGGACAATAGCCGACAGGAGGAACCGAAAGCACGAGCTAGAGGCGAATCCGACTTGTTACGTTTAATAAACCAATTGGTTACGGAGGTTTTAGTAGTTTTATTGACGAACCCGCAAACACAAATTACTTTTGATTTCGTGTAATAAAAACAAAAAACATAGAGAAATTGGAAGCCAGCTGTTAATGAATAAAAATAATAAATCCTATTTAACACTTTGGTCATCTTACTTTTATGATCAACATACTTTCGACAAAATTTTCATATCTCTATTGTTTTTAAAAGATCTCACAGAAAAACCAAGAAGTGTCAGATCTGAAGATCTCCTACTGCCTATCAACCCTAATAATGATAAAATTGCTATTGCTTACCTCGTTTTGGTTAGAAATTAAATTCGCTAAAATTTCTGGAGAAGGAACTTCACCCGTTTTTTCCCATTTTTTAATTTCCCGACTAACTTCATCCTCCTTAGTTTTATTTTCCATTTCAGCTTTCGCTAAAGTTGTAGACAATTCACAAACGTCTTGGTTAAGTTTCTGAAAACCGATAACACATATTAGAATTAGTCAATATTGATAAAAGTACTGTTTTTCTTAGGTACCTCAACTTCTTCTCTTTGCTTATTCAATTGCCCCTTCAGATTATCAATCTCGTTATTCTTTTTGGACAGATGGGCCATAAGTTCTTTGACTTCAGTTTTCAAACGAGCGCCCAGCGTTTCCCAATCTTTCAGCTGCTTCACAACGACTTTGTTGGTTTCTTTTTGCTTATCGACTTGTTCCGACAAATTGTCTCTTTGTTCTTGGAGTTCGTTCATGCAGTCTTCGTTCTCCATTTGGATTATCCTGATAACTTTAAGTAGCCTGAAAAATATGTTAAGAACACAATAAAAATATGCCTACAAGGTTATTTAAATTACTATAAACTTAGGGCGATGCATCTTTATCCGAGCGTTTGTTCCAACAACGATCCGAAACTAGTCATATTGGCACCAGGATTCTGAGCATTATAAAATTGGGGGTCCTAATAACCTACTGCACAGATTTCCTGGCGGGAATGACTGTGTTCTGATCGTTGATGGAACGAACCTATATATATTACGAAACAGAAACGTTTTATGTACCTAGCATCATAATACAGGGTGGGCCAGAAAGACGTACGATTTTAAGAACGCCACTGAATCCAAACGGCACTGGTTAGCGAGGCGCCAGTAGTGGGGGTGACTAGCTCGGTGTTCGGAAATTCAGTCGCAACGTGCGTTCTGCGTAAAGCATTATTATAAAAATGGCGACTCGTGTACTGTTGTGCGGCGTTTATTTCGTGCCGAGTACGGATTAAATTACTTAAATCAGTGTCCCAGTGAAAGTGTGATTAGGTCGTGGATCAGAAAGTTCGAAGCTAGGGGTTCCACACTTAATCAGAAGCCTGCAGGACGCCCAAGGTCAATACGCACAGAGGAAACAGTTAACAAAGTTAGGACTTCCCTACGACGCGATCCCGGATTATCTACCCAAAAGAGGTCGGCAGAGCTTGCCATATCAAGAACATCCCTGCGTCGAATTTTGGTAAAAGGTCTAAAACTGCATCCATACAAAATTCAATTAGTGCAGGAGTTGAAACCCAATGACCATAACCTACGCCGTATTTTTGCTCAAACAATGTTGGAGCGCTTTCCAACTCTGAACAATACTCTGTTTTCGGACGAACTCATTTTCAATTAAATGGGCATATCAACAGACAGAACTGTCGCTATTGGGCAGCAGAAAATCCCAAATCAAAACATCAAAAGCCACTGCATTCGCCCAAAGTACAGTTTGGGCGGCTATTTCGGCACAAGGAATCATAGGTCCCTATTTCTTTGAAGATGAGCGAGGCCAGACTGTAACGGTAAATTCTGACCGTTACACAACAATGTTGCGCGATTTTTTCTTTCCGCAACTTCATCAATTTGAACCATTTAATGTGTGTACATGGTTTCAATAAGTTGGCGTCACATGCCATACGTCTAGTGAGTCGATAACGGCCTTAAACGAGATGTTTAAAGGTAAACTGATATCGCGCCGAGGGGATATTCTCTGGCCTCCCAGAAGTCCAGACTTTACTCCTTGTGATTTTTTTCTTTCTGGATACTTAAAGAGTTACGTTTATACCAATAGGCCACGCAGAGTAGATCAGTTAAAGGAGAATATTCGAGAGAAAATGACTGATATTCCACGCTCAATGTGTCAACGAGTTTTCTCAAATTTGAAGTTCAGATTCGAAGAGTGCGTGTGTCAAGATGGCGCACATATGTATGATGTTATTTTTAAAAAATAATTTCCCATTTGTGTATTTTAATTTAAATATACACTCGTAATGATATTACTTTCTGTTTATTTTTCACGATTTTTTTATATCCGCTCAACTTAATGGTCCACCCTGTACAAGATAACAGTATTTCCTATCAGTGAAATATGGAGTGATCCTCAAAAAAACTGTTTGGATTTAATTCAGAGCCGTGCGTAGTTATCACCGACATGACTTGCATCTGTATTTGTCAGTCATGACCCAACCTTACATTCTGACATTGCAGTATAATCAAACTACCCTATGAAGAATTGCGTCATACACTGGCAGAAAATAATATTTCCTTTCAAGCCACAGCTCTAAGCAATAACCAGTTTAAAATTAATACTAAACAAGAAGAAGACTTCAAAAATGTCATATCAACCTTGAATGCCAAAAAAATGAATTGGCATTCCTGTGAAATTAAACAGAACAGAGACATTAAAGTAATGGTTAGAGGTCTACCATCTACATCTAAACCAGAAGATATTGTTGAAGACTTGCAAAGTCAAGGATTAAAATGAAAAGAAGCTGTCAATATAATAAAGAAGGAAATAGAATTAATAATAATAACACTCGTAAACTAAATAAAAAATCATTGTTGCTATTCATGCTATCATTCGAAAATATTGAAGATATCAAGAAAATTTACGAAATCAAAGCAATACTTAATATAAGAGTTAGAACAGAAACCATAAAAAAGTCAAAACTAGTTCCGCAATGCAAAAACTGCCAGCTATTTGGACATACGCACAACTTTTGCAAAAGAGAATCAAGATACGTAAAGTGCGTAGGAAAACATCATACGAAAGATTGTGTAAAAATTCCAGAACAACAACCAAAGTGTATAAACTGCCTAATGGAACATCCTGCTAACTACAGAGGATGAGGTAGCTAAAACCTTTCAGATAAGGAAAGATAACACCACTAAACCTAAAATAATGACGAGACAAAAAAGATCCGTAAACGCTTTTCCTACTGTCAGAAATGAAATAACATATTCTCAGGTAACAAACTCACAGCAGCAACCAATTCAAAGGTAACAACCAGCCATGAATCCCACGCCACAAATTGTACAGCATACTGCACAGTCAACCAGGTTAGCAGAAAGTACTACTCATGAATTTTATTATTATCCTTAATAACCAGAAAAGATTCACTCTCTGACAGGCTCTAGAAGCTAGAAAAATTAAACAAACCCCAAACATATAACCAATGGACAAAAGAGAAGCCAAACCGACCCTAGCAAATCGGAAAACTAATTGGGAAGGTTTTCAAGAGGACTATTCAACTGACCATAACACTAAAAACGAAAAATTAGCTAGATGAAGAACTGGAAAGGTTTATAGTTGAAATCCAGCAAGCTGCATGGAGGAACACACCAAAAGTAAGAATATTAACAGCTGGAAAAAACTCTTCTGTCGAGATAAGAGAACTGGTAGCAGAAAAAAGAAAACTAACAAAGAAATGGCAGATGACAAGATCACCAAAAGATAAAAATATATTAAATAGGGCTACCCAAAGACTGAGAAGAGAAATCCTAAACCACAAAGAAGAATCCTTCAACAGATACCTAGTAGGGCTAACAGATGATAAAGAAACTGATTATTCACTCTGGAAGGCAACTAAAAAAATGAAAAATCCGTGTAAACACTGTCGTCCAATTAGAATATCAGATAACAAATGGGCAAGAGACAATCGACAAAAAGCTGATATTTTCGCTGACCACCTACAAAGACGTTCCAATTAGATGAAAATCAAGACACTCCTAATGAGACCATCCATAATAGGGAACAACTTGAAATTAAGCTAGTTACTTCTAATGAAGTTATAGGTTTGTTCCAACATAAAGCAAATCAGTTTGCGTACTGTCTGGATTATGCGCAGTCTAGAATTCGTGTTCCAACAAACCTTAGACTCAAAACTGTACAAAAATATAGTGTTCCAACACAACCTAAACTAATCACAAACTTATTTATGTACTGTCAAATCAGTTCCTGGGTCTGAATAGGAACGAATTGCGCAAAGCCGCAATAAACTGAACATTTCGTGATTGTAATTATATTATTTGTATCTATTATCTCTGACAGTTCTGATTTGTATTTGCTAATCGAGTTTAGTCTTCATGGTTTTTGTTTATTATCATTTATTTTATTTTGTGGTTTATTATTGTAATAGTACGTCTGTTAAATTTAAAAAATGTGTTCCAACATAATTGAGTTCTGAGTTGAAGCCCAATCCCCGACCAATACCTGACAAGTTGTCAATTACTAGTCGTCGACAGATTGTCAACAATATGTTTTGGACTGGTTTATGTATTGTTCCAAGATCGTTGTTGGAACAAACCTTATGAAAGAAATTCAGACAAACATCAACTCACAGAAAGCCCCTGGATATGACCTTATTACTGGAGAAATATTAAAGAAACTATCACGGAAGGCTATTGTTAAATTGACATACCTCATAAATGCAGCATTTCGCCTTAAATATATACCTGATGCGTGGAACATGGCTGAAGTTATCCTAATTCCTAAGGCAAGAAAACCTCTGAATGAAGTGTCATGATATAGACATATATCATTGTTACCGATAATATCTAAGTTATTTAAAAAACTACTACTAAAACGACTAAAACCAATAATTGAAAATAAAAATCTGATCCCTTCGCACCAATTTGGTTTTAGAAACAAACTATCGACAATAGATGAAGTACACAGGATAGCCGATATCATCGAAAAAGCTTACGAAGAAAAATATATATGCTCAGCTATATTTCTTGACGTAGCCCAAGCATTTGACAAAGTTTGGCACGCTGGCCTAACACAGAACCTTGAAAAAATGCTCCCTAGACAATATGTAGACATTCTACAATCATATCTAACGGGAAGAATGTTTAGAGTAAAGTAAGTCGGGGCATACTCCGAAATGAAAGAAATTAAAGTAGGTGTCCCACAAGGCAGTGTGCTAGGACCGGTTCTTTACTTATTATACACCAGCGATATCGCTCAACAACAATGTGTTAAAATAGCAACATTTGCGGATGACACTGCAATATTGGCAGTTGGCGGAACTAATACAGAGACTTCAGAAAAACTTCAGGAAACCTGCAACAGAATCAACCGATGGACAAAAAAGTGGAAAATAAAAATAAATCAAACTAAATCAGTGCATGTTGATTTTACTCTTCGACCAAATGAACAAAAACAAATAAGAATAAACAATGACGTTATTTTGCATCACGATTCGGCCAAAAATTGTAACAGTAAATTTGACTGTTACATCAATTGCAGGAAATTTTGTTATTTTATAACCTAATTTGTATTAGTTGTTCCCAACTCTATTCTTTAAAATAAAGTAATTGTAATTATCGATTTTTAAAAATTTGGAAGGGACCCCAAACGTGAATTGATATAGGTTTCCTCTTTTATTTCGAGAGATATACCAAATACCTTCTAGAATAATCAAGTTTTTTGGTTTTGAAGACTTTTAAAAAGGCGAACACGGCCGTTTGGTTCCTTTTTTTCTTTTCCTTCTCTCGCGGTGACATCAAGTTATTTTTCAACAATATCTATAGATATCGACGTTATGTGAGTTTGTGCCAAATTAATTCGGAATTTTAAGGTAAAACTTTTGCAGTTAATTTTATAATCTATCATTATTTTATAGTTGCTTTATTATTTGCCATTTCTTTTTTTTTGTATTTATCCATTCTTAGGAAGTCCCAACACCCGAATTCTAATTAAACTATTAAGAGGAATTAGACTTTAACTTTTACTTGTTTTGAAACGTACTACGATTTGTTGTTTGACTTAAGTACGCAGTGGTGGAATATTTTTCTAATTGGGACTTCCTTGTTTGATAATCTATATATCTTGCCTGTCAGAATACTCTCGTTTTCTCTCCATTACAGACTACCTCACCGACTAGCGCCTTCTCCTTCACCCCAGCGACGTCGCTACAACAGAGGAAAACTCTTCTTCTGAACGATAATTTGATCCTTATCCTAGCAGCACTACCGATCCCTAAAAGACTAGTGGGAGTTTGTAACACCCTTCAGAGAGAAAAGCGAGATCACTACCACAGAGACCACAGCAAGGCAAGTCCAATTAGATCGATACGTTGGAAATATAAATACTAACTCGTACATACGAAATATACAACATAAATATTTGTTTTTTTTTTGTTAAATAAAATTGTTAAATTTTATTGATTTTTTTTTTATTACAGAGGATGCCTTATTTCCTTGGAGATTAATAAAACAATACACTACTAACAGATGGCGCCCAACTTTTTTTTCTTTAAATATCTTTTTAATATTATTTCTTTTTTATTTATTCAATTAAATCAAATAGGATCGCGGTAATTTGACATCCGTGATCCTTCTGTTACTAGTGGCATTGAAGAGTGGTTCAGAACCAAATTCCGCTGAGCTACCAAACAAAAATAATTGTGCCGCAACTTTTTCTCTCTCGAGAGTCAGATTTACGTATCAATACCTAGGGATGAACCTAGATGTAATACTTAAATGGAAAGACCGTAAAGAACTTGAAATTAAATTTAAAAAAATGTATTGGCTCCTTGGAAGAAAATCCAAATTGTCAGTGCACAACAAACTGTTGATTTATAAACAAATCTTAAAACCAATCTGGATTTATGGCATACAGCTATGGGGATGTGCCAGCAAGAGTAATATCAACATGATACAAGTTTTCCAAAAATAAAGTCCTAAGATGCATTGTTGATGCACCTTGGTTCTACCGAAACGATTATCTTCATAGAGACCTGAAGATGCCAACAATCGAAGAAGAAATAAAGAGGTTTGCTGCGAAACATGAGGGTCGACTACACTCCCACGTCAACGAAGAAGCGCTGCAATTACTGGAAAACTCTACACTCAACAGAAGGCTCAAAAGGAAGAAGCCATTTGAGCTAGTGCAGTAAACGTTAATGTTAGTGCTAGTGTAATAAATCGTCACGCCAACTTGTGATGCTTTCCTATAGAAACAATTAAGACAGCCCAATGGGGACTTCTTAGATAAGTAATTAGTTATAAGATTTTTAGATTAAAATTGTATTAAAATGTACCCTTGTATCCCTAAAGTAAAAACAAACCAAAACATATCAAAACATTAATATTTTATCTACAATTAAACAATTTTAAAATACAGCTGAAGCAAAGTTACCTATTTAGACAAAATTATACAATTTTGTTTTTCCATTCCGTTATTTATTAAAACACATTATTTTTTAGTAAACATGAACTCAGTTGTGCAAAAGTCAGCAATGAGGGTAGGACAATAATAGCCAGAGCAAGAATACTTTGGATAACATTTTACAATGTATATATCACTATTATTTTGTGTATTATTCTCATTTATTTTTAAAAACTATTTTTTTTTTAATTTTAAGTTTTAAAATGGCAAATACTGACCTAGTAATAAGGTTATCCACCTCGATAACCTGGTCCACCAGGGAAATAGAAGGAAAAAATTCGCTCAGCGACACCAGATCACTAGTAAATGAAGTATTTAGACTACCATAAAAGCTCATGCTCGCCGGCTCGGACATTTGCCTGCTCAGGAGCGTTTGATTCAAATCTTTGAGACTTTCGCTGTGCGTCAAACGTGAGCTCATCATACTTCCGTGCCCCGATGAGACCAGATTTTGAGAATGACCGTCCGGAATGACTACGTCTTCTAAAACGTGCTCCATCATAAGACACGGCTCGGTTTCGGAGTCCAGCATTTCGTTCGAGCTGAAAATATAGCAATAATTGAAATGAACATGAAAAGCGGAAATAAATCATAAAACAGGGTAAGTCATAAATAACTGTACATAATTTTACAGTAGTTAGAGGGATAAGTACAAAATGGGTACATGACCTATCTTCTACGTAAGTAATTTTATTTCATCCTATGTTCAGAGACAACCCTATATTTTAAATGTTTGGAAGTTTGCGTTTGTTGTCGGTTTTTGCCATTTTTTTTTTGTTGCGTTGTGGTGTTGCATGGCAGAGTGTGTCTAAAAATTGAGATGAGTGTTCTACAGAAATAAAACTTGTAAGTTATGTTGGGTTAATTCTCTAAAACGAGTGACGCAAGCAATTTTAGTGCCCTTTTTATCCAAATATAACCTACATTTGCTATCCCTCCCTCCAGTTTAATTTATTGGTCCTACAACTCTGATTAAAAAGCACCTGTTTTGTTTAGGCATAAGTATTGTTTGTTTAAATGTTTCTGTTTAAATGTCTTTTTTTTTGTCTAATAAAAATTTTAGTGTAATATTGCAGTCAAAAGCTATTTTAATATTCCAGAAATATTTTAGAAACGTTTGTACAACGTTTCATAATATTTATAAAACAAAACTAGAATACATTTCTAAAATATTGTTATGTTTCTGAAAGGTTTCAAATTTTTATTTATGAAATATTACTATAAAATATTAAATTTTTAGCACATTTTTACGTTTCAGGGACATTTCGTAATATTTATGCAACATTACAAATATTTCAATGTAACATTTATGAATTATTTTCAAAATGTTTTTGTGCTGTATGGGTATCAGAATTAACTCATTTTCATTCTTGTGGTATTCTCTAAAAAATATGCCAAAATTTCAGGACCGGCTTCAAAATTTTTAAAATTCTAATACTATACATATTTTTAAATTTTTCACAAAAAACTTAAAATCTACATACTTTGTGAGGGGTTGTTTGGTGACAGAAATATTAATTTTACTATTTTAATAATTGCATTTAATTTTATTTCACAAAGTAATGTAATGTTATGCCGCGACCGAAGTCAGTAAGAAACTGGTCCATTAGTTTCTTCCCGGTCTACCTGCAGTGCCCTCGAAACTGCCAGCCTTACCCGGGAAAAACCCCTGATATTTGAATTGCTATTTGATTGGTACTTAAATAAAACTTTACAAGCACCTATCATTTCGGAAATCCCTAGGTAAGCTGACTAGTTTGAATATAACCTACAGGATGATGTTTTCTTGACCGCCACACATTGTAATACTCGACATTCTAAAATATATCAAATACAAAGCCGGATGGGCCGACTGGGAGTTTGGGAGTTTTCGCTTTGATTCCGGAACAGCCGATCCAACTCTCTTCTTCAAAATTTGAACCAGGCTGGTACTTAACAGTTTCCCGGCACGGATTGCCATTCCCTAGGCTCCCCTAATCATTTATAAAATAGCTATTTTTAAAAAAATTGTTCATTTATGATTTTGTACTTACTCTACTGTAGAAGTATATGTACAGTTATTCATGACTAACCCTGTATGTATTATAAGGCTTTCACAAATCTTCCTTTCACATATCCGCCAACACGTCGTTATTTATCCATTGTCCATGACCCAAATCGAAGCTTTTCAATGGAACTTCGGAAATTTCGCGGGGCGCACTTTTAGGACATTAGCTTTTTTTTATAAACGGCATTGGGCGAAAAAAAAAAACACCGAATTATTAATGTTTGATACTTGATATTTTGTTTACCTTGAGTGATCCGTTGACAATGTATCCTTGCTAACATCCCTGATTGCGAACGGTGATTGGGCAGCACTTTTTATGGCATTTATTACGGCCGATACGAATGAAGAACCTTTGGCTGGAGACGGTGACTTGTCGATGAATATTTTTCTAGATTTTTCCGGCGTCGATTCTGGGCTACTGCTGCTGTTTTTGTATGCCTCATTGTGAAATATGACATCCTGGAAAAAAATTTATCATTTTAGAATACTATTCATTGTATTATTGAAAATTGTGAACCAACATTAGTAAGAGGATTATTTGCGATCTTTACCATTAGGAATTACCGACCCTCTTATTTTATTTTTCACGTGTGTTAGGATAGTTGAGGCCAGAACGTGCATCTGAGTTAGTATCTCTAGACTTTCCTCTAGTGTCGTGGTGTAGGTATCATCCTCTTTTTTAAGGAATACCACTTGACTAGATGTACTGTCTTTGGCTATAACTTCTATGGATTCTAGCACTGGCGGTGGTCTCTGAGACCTCGTCGCAGAACTTTCTCCATAAGTTTCTTTTAGCCTTGCGTATTCCTTATTATACTCTGTAAGCTTGTTTATATAAGTAGTCCAGTCTTGTGTGTTTTTCTCGTTTGGCAGTAATTGCCTTGTTTACCAAGTCTACTGTACTTTCAAGTGTTCTTGTTTCTCGTACATCGGTGGTTTCCTCCTTGAGAGACTCCTCGAGGGATTTTATGTACCCTTTCCAATTCGTCTCTTTCGGAGTTCTAAACCTGTCTGCTGTACGAGTTGGACATTGTGTATGGAATCGAATATGTCGGATAATAGAAAATCAACCAATCCATTTAAAGTTCTGCGAGACCTAGTTTAAGCTAAAGCGTTGAGAACGAAGATAGAACGAAGCCCGACGAAGCTTTCTTCTGTTGATTACTATAGTAACCATTTGTCATTTTAGATGACATAAACATTTTTTATGTGAAACGATTTTTTCCTATTTTTTTCTAAAAAAAATATATTTTTTTATTTGCGGAAACTACAAAAATGTCGGAATCGAAAGAAGTAGTTGAAACGCAATCAACGAACGACTCAGAGCCAAAGGAGAAGATCGACTTCAACAATTTCCTCCTAACTCCAGACCATCCGCTCTTAGAACCCTTCCAAAGAGCTTTAAAAGAACATCTGCAGATTCAGATAGCTCGTATAAAAGAAGATCTCTATGAAATCGAAGATGACGTCAAAAGAAAGGAGACCGAAATCGTCGATGTTGGAGTGCAAGCGTACGAAGTCCAACAACAGGTCAAATTATAATATACTAGTATTACTATTGTTCTCTTGTTGCCTTACTTGAAATCATGGAATGTTTGTACTAATAACTAATAATTCTGCTCTTCTAAACAGTGAATACATTAATACACTTTATCTCACTTCAAAATCTTAGTCCCCCTCTGAATTAGTGTATCATCATTGGAACATCTAGTTATTAAACAAAAATTGCCTACCGTAGAATATGAAATGCAAAAATGTTAGTTATCTTCTTCCTAGATAATACTCTTTCACCCATGTCTATTGCTCATTTGAGACTGACTCTGTTTCTCTTGCTTGGAAAACGGATATGATTAAACTTATATAAATAGAAAAATTGTATATAATTGTATAGACCTGTCTTCTTTTCAGCTTATACATAGTAGCCAAAGGTGCGTTCCTCAATTAGCATAAAAAACTGAAATTTGCAAACATTTTTACCTCTGATGATTTAGTAGATTCTCTAATGTAGGTATCTGGATTTTCTTGTTGGATACAGGATATTTCCACAATTAAAAGATTTACTGAGTAGGTCAGAATATGTTTCTTAAAGATCAAGTAATAATTGCAGTCAACAAAAAGTATGTTGTTGACCCAAACAACTTTTCCAGGACACTATTAATCATGTTTTTAATCACTTTTGATTTTACAGCCTCCCAGGTTTTACCTTCAAACATTAATACGGTGTCATCTGCATAGGATATTGCTATACCATTTATATCTAAGTTTAAAAGAGAGTTGATATAGATGATAAAAAGAATTGGACCAAGAACAGTTCCTTGTGGCACACCTATTTGAATTTTAACAGGATTACTAAATTCTATTCTAATTTTAACTGTGTTCTCTCGTGTAGGTAGTTTTCAAAAATTTTTAAAACCAATCTTCGAATGCCATAATATTCAAGAACATTTAGTAGTTGCTTGTGAGGAAGTGTCAAAAGCTTTCGCGAGGTCGATAAAAACACTTATATTTTTACTTTCATTCTCAAGACTGTTTTTTATATTAGATATCAATTCATACATGGCATCACAAGTGCTAACCCTTTTTGGAACCCGAACTGTTTAACATTTGAAATCTTTTTATCAATTAGATCAGTGGTCGCTAACCTCTCAATGTGTTGAGCTACTTTGTTAATTTTGGAATAAACAGCGAGCTACCCACACGGAAGCCACGTAACGCAACGTAAATGAAATAATCCACAGTTAATTTATCATTATATATATTTATTTTACTATTTAACTGGTAATACATAATACATAGGTACTAACAATAAACTAATAACAAAATAACTAATATTACTAGTACGTACTTGTTCATAGCTACATTCCTACCTACCAAACGAAGGTGTTTGAAAAATAAACACAAACTTTTATCCAGCCACAACGGCATGTCATGTAAGATTTAAAAATAGTTAATAATAACAACAAAAAAGTAACGCACTATCATGAACATAAACATTGAAAAATAAAATAGCACGTTCAATGAAAAGGCTGACACTCAGACTCATCGATAATTTTTTTAATGTTTGCAGTATAATTTGATACAGCCATTCGAATACAATTATCCAAATGTTCATCTGTAAGTCGATTGCGATATTTGTTCTTAATAAACTTCATATTGGAAAAAGAAGAATCACACAAATAGGTTGAACTGAATAATGCTTTCACTTTCAAGGCAACACGGCATAGGACTGAATATTTGTCTTTACTTACAATAGGCCAGATACATTTGGTACTTGAGACTAACGATTTTAAGGCAAAATCATTTTGAAACTCAATTACTTCCATTTCTGTTGCAGCGATGTCTTCGCCAAAGTTCTGCATAACCAAGTTGTAAACTGTTGGATATCAATTTCCATAAAGGGTGAAACAACAAACTGCGCTACTTAAGCCATTTCGTTGAAATCCTTAAAACGATTTTTGAAGTTATTCTTCAGGGTAGTAGGGTAGAAACTATTTCTATATGATATTTGCTGTCATAGGGTTCTAATGGATTTTGAGATATTTTTTCTAAAAAAATAGGAAAATGCTTGGCATCGCTGTTAATTAGGTTTTGTTCCCAAAACTCCAGCTTTTTGATAAATGCTTTTATATCAGAAATCATTTCCGCTAGTTCTTTCTCTTCCCTGAAGCTGCAAATTAAGTTCGTGTAATTTCTCTGTAATGTCCACGAGAAAACCAAAATCTCTAAGCCAGATTGAATTTTCTAGTTCCGGAGTCGGTTCATCGCGTTGTTTGAAAAATTTAACTATGCCAGATAGGACATCATTAAAACGTTTCAGCACCCGTCCTCTACTTAACCATCGGACTTCAGAGTGAAGGAGTAGGTCCCCGTATTGACAGTCAACTTCATCGGCCAAGGTTTTGAATAATCTTCTTTGTAACGCTTGAGCTCTAATCTTGTTCACAATTTTTACCACCAGTTTCATAACGTTGTTTAGTTTCAGGAAATTTCCACATAATGCTTGCTGAAGGATAATGCAGTGGTAACAGAGAAATTGCGGAAAAGTTTCATCTTAAGGACATAACGTCACCAGACCCTTATCACAACCCACCATAGCTGGAGTGCCATCGGTTGTCAAGCCTAAAAACCATCCTGACGAACACAGCCATCTGGGCAGTGTCAACGACATTTGTTGATTCATCCAGTTGAAGTGAAAAATAAACACAGTTATCTAAGTCAGTTGTTAACTGTAAAAAAATATCATTGCTCATTACTCATTACTTCTACACGTCTCATCACTGTATTAGCAGAAAGTTGCATAGATTTTATAGCTGAAACTATCTCGTCTTTATTTCTAAAGTTGGCAAATAACGAATCAGTAGCTTCTAAAAACGCCTGTTTTATCATTTCCCCGTCTTCATAAGGTTTCTTTTTTTGTGCAATTATCTGGGACACACGGTACGATGCTTCAGTTGCAGCCTTATTTTTGTCGACTGTTCTTAAAAATATTGATTGTTGTCCAATTAACTGCTTTTTTAACTGTTTCAGTTTCTCCTTTCTGGCGGCAGAATGTAGTGGGAATGATTTTTCAAAATTAGAATGTACAGTTTTATGATGTCTCTCAATATTTCCTTTTTTAGCAACGGAGACCGAAGTACAACATAACAAACACACATTTTTTTCTTTAACTTCTGTAAAAAAGTATTGTTCTTCCCATTCCGAATGAAAGTGGTATGTCTCTACCTTCTTACAACTGCTTGCCATAATATTATTTTTTGTTGTTCTCTACTAACCCAACGGCTGGACGTTGGTTACGCGTTCAGTTTTAAACTAAGCGCAATGTCGCCGCGCCGTGCGTATTTATCCCGTTCAAAGCAATCCTGATCGTTCTCGAACACTAACGCGCTGGTCCGGCTGGTTGGTTCTAGCCGATTCTAGCTTGATGGCGTCAGCGGTAGATCGCTCACCGCAACGTTGCCGCTGTTTATGTTTCATATTATGACAATTAGATTTTTTTGTGGAATTTTCGGAAGCTTCTCTGATTTTTGCAGTTTGTATTTTTTAAATTAAAATCGTTGTGAGAGCTACCAGAATTGCCTCCGCGAGCTACCGGTAGTTCGCGATCGACAGGTTGGCGACCACTGAATTAGATATTCGTATAATATTTTTTTAAACATTTTTCAAAAATTTTTGCAAAATTTGTAATCAGACTTATTGTAATCAGACACATCTTTTTTGGATCCGTTTTTAAAAACTGGATTTACAATTGATATTTTAAGTTTGGTTTATAATGTGCATTAGAGGCTCTATTATGTATCGGTGACCATTTTTCAACATTCTAGATGTAATTCCGTCAATCCCAGGAGCACTGTTATTTTTTAACAAATTTATATGTTCTATTAATTCATTTTTATTGACAGGATTTAATGCCATTGAGTTGATTAGAGGTGGATATCTTATTAGGAAGTCATTTACAGAATTGATTTTAGTTGCCATATCTATACCAATTTTTGAAAAATAGTTATAGCAGTAGTTGGCCATTTCTTTGTCATTTGTAAATTGTTTATTATTGTTTAGAATATTAAAATCATTGTTTGTTTTATTGTTTCGGTGTTCATTTGAAGCTTCTTTAACTATTTTGAATTTGAATTGTATAATAACTATTTTTAGCTTTTCTTATTATTTTATTTAGTTGGTTACGATATATCCTATTTTCTCTTAGAAGATTGTTGTTTTTGGTTTTTAATATTTGCTTTTTCATTTTATCTCTATGTTTAATAGACATGATGATGCCTTGACTATCCATGGTTTTATTTTTCTATAAGTATTATGCCTATTAGTTATATTACATTGTTCTTTTAGGGAATATATTATTTCAATAAATTTCTGGTAGGCCAAAATTGGATTGCTAAGAGAAATGACGTTGTCCCAGTTTACATTTTCTAATAATTTTGTAAAACTATCTATATCGGTGTATTGTGTTGTATGTTGGTTTAATGTATTAAAGTTTCTTTCGTTTGTTGTAATATTTAAAAAAATTGGAAAATGATCAGTTAGATCAGTGTCAATTACTAACGATTTAAATGAAAAAGGACCCCGCAGACTTTCAATGGAAATTGGGTTTCATCGAAATTGTCCCATTTTTTGCAGGGAGCTATCTTTTGACATCCTGAACAAAAGTCCTTATGGGTGGAACAAAATCCTATGTAAGGATTTTGAGTTATTTGCGAAAGAAGGCCTCGATTTTGACGAACTTCAAAAATCGTAAACACAGGGAAACAACACATACAAAGAGGTTAGGGTCTTTATTTTTTAAAAGTCTTGAACCAAGAAGTTATTCCAGAATGATTAGTAGTCATTGATGGAGACGCTGTGTATGAGTGCCCGTCAATAGGCAACTCACAGGATGGTCCTGAACACTTTCGGCAAAAAATTGACCTTTTAACCAAACTTTTCTGAGCTTGATTTCCTGGATGAGTCGCCTCCAGAAAAGTTGGACTGACCGAGGCCATCAATGGAATGGGCCCATGAGTTATCGGCCAAAAAAGGTCCCATTTGGCCGATACTCGAGAAGTGTGAAAACGGGGCGGAAAACTCATACAACGATGGTAATATGATCACGTTTAGACGGCTTTGGGCCAAAAAGTCATTTGACAATGCCCAGCAGGGTTTTCTGGAGATGCCGGGCTTGAGTGCCCATCATTGACTACTAATCATTCTGGAATAACTTCTTGGTCCAAGACTTTTAAAAAATAAAGACCCTTACCTCTTTGTATGTGTTGTTTCCCTGTGTTTACGATTTTTGAGGTTCGTCAAAATCGAGGCATTCTTTCGCAAATAACTCAAAATCCTTACATAGGATTTTGTTCCACCCATAAGGACTTTTGTTCAGGATGTCAAAAGCTAGCTCCCTGCAAAAAATGGGACAATTTCGATGAAACCCAATTTCCATTTAAAGTCTGCGGGGTCCTTTTATTTGGCATATTTTGTATAAAAATATGATCAATACATGATTTCGTTTCTACAGTATCCCTGGTGTATGAATTAATATATGATACAAATCCCAAAGGAAGATAACATTGGCAAATATCTATTTGTTATTTGGTTTGAGGGATCAAGGATATTAATATTAATAAATATATCCATTCCTAGCCTTCTTGGTATATTACTTAAGAAATTTTCAAAATCTGTAAGAAATGTATCATCTGATATGGATGGAGATGTATAACAAGGCATTACTGTATAGGGCACACCATTATGACTAAATGCTATTTTGCAGTGGTCTTATTTTTTAATATCGCTTTAATGCATTGTCTAAAAAAATTAAATCCCAATATTAATACATTCACTACCAGCAAGGCGCCATCTTCAAAGATTTTGCTCAGATGTACATAAAATCATCCCTAGTATCCTTCCTTTTTTATTTGAAAGGCGGCATTCTTGATCTACTAGTTAGATAACATTTTAAATGATTATTTTCGTAGGTTTGCTACCAACAAAGAGTCCTTGACAATCTAATTAATAAAATACAAAAAGTATCCGAAGATCAAGAAAAAGAAGAACTAGAACTCCATAGGAACACAAAAGAACTGAAGGAATTGCAAAACAAACTGTTCCAAACGGAAAAAAACAATAGAGAAATGGTAGTCGAAATAGATAGCGTCACGGCAATGAACCAGCACTTATTGGAGTCCGAAACCAAGATCGAGTCGCATATAACTATCAACAAGAGAATGGCGGATAAATCGAGACAAGATAACGATCAGCTGGCTAAGGAGAAGAGAAGGCAAGATTATCTCATTCATTATCTCTTGACAGATATTTGGAATCTTGAAACGGAAATAGAGACCAGCAAACTCCAGATTAGTCTAAAGGAAGAGGAATTAGAAGATTTGGAACAAAGATCAGCGCTTGGTAACACAAATATTACAGGTCAGTTAAATTTGTTCAAAGTTTGTTGTAACAGGACTTAAAGTACAGGCAGTTCAACAAAAGAATGATGTAGACGACAAAAAAGATGATTTTGGACCAAAACTAACAAACAATAACAATCAGGGCCAGTCTTTTCACATCTGAGTAAAGTTGAAAGTAACTACTTGCTGATTAAACTATAGGGCTATTGTTTGTTAATCTGTCAAGTAAACTTAAGTACATGTAACTTTACTCTAATAAATTAATATCAGATTTTTCTCATAAAAATAAAAAGGAAAGAGCATTTAAAAAAACAACTTACGTACATACATCAGCAGTTCTCTTTGTATTTTTATGACATATTACTCCCACTCCTTGTCAACAGTAAGAGGCTACTATAGTAGTTTACGAACCGTCGTTCTCTAAGGTTCTAGCTAAACAAATCGTGACAGTTACCTAGTTTATTTATTCATCTGAGGTATATACTCTAATACTCAGTGATGTGTCTTGCCAATCATGATATTTTACATTACATATATTTAATACAGGGTGTGCTAAACCTGTGATGCGTGCTTTGGATACATGAATTACTTATCAGTTTTCTATTGTTCTGTAAATATTTCCTAAGCCATTTTTCTTAAATATAAAAGCGATGAAACGATGTGTTATTCAGCTTTGTTTTTATTTAATTAAAATTTTCAGCTTTGCAATCGGAGCTAAAAGCCCTGATGTTTTCATGGACCAGCGTAGTGGCGGCAGTCTCCAATCGCGATAAGGGCCTGGAATGTCTAAATCAGGAACTAAATAAGCAACAAGAAAGACACAAAGACGTCTTGACCGAAATTGGACAATCCAGAAAAGAAATAAAGAAAGAGCAGCTGGAACACCAAACGTTTACGGCTTTAAAGGAAAGAGTCCTTGAAGACATAAAAATGAGTCAAGGTCAAATCGAAGAGCAAATTATCCAAAAAAAGTGCCTAGGTGAGAATTTCACATTATTAGAATATTAATAATAAATGGTTTTATCATTTACAAGACGATTTTGTGGTACCTCGACATAAGTAACAGAGTTTTGTTCAGAGTAGGAGCGTAGAGCGTCGCGATAGCGTTGCGTCGTCGGTAAAACAACCTAGTGTTACCAAACGCAAACCTTCAGAGTAGAGCGACCAGTAACGCAACGCTATCGCATCGCGACGCGCGCCGCTCATGCTCTGAACCAGGCTTAATGATTTATATTACTCTCGAGGATTACTATCTTTTTTCTACAAATATTTCCTACTCAATTCAAATTTTATATTAATCTTAGCATACATGTAAAAATAATAATCATTTCGCTTTACTAGAAAACATTTTTCGTAGCAAAAGAAATAACTTGTTTGTTGCAAGAGCTAATTAGTTTTTTAAAAACCACTTTGCTATCATAAAAATTCCTAATATAATGTTGAAACTATTTGGTAAATTAACTAATTAGGTATTTTTCTTTGTTGCTATTATGTTTTGATAACAATATAAGTAGCTTCTTTGCATGTAGAGATATTGTTTATGGTGGGGGTTTTAACCCTTGTAAATTCATCGGCCAAAGTCGGTACAGATGGATTGAATGTTTTACCTTAAACAAATTTTTACCCATGACACTGAAACACTTTTTTACTTACTTATAGGAGTACATTACATTATGTATAGCAGGGATATAAGTTGGAAAGGCTTTTTGCAATTTTTCCACTTCATACACAGAAATTGACAGTTTTGCGGCGGAGCTAACCGAAGTGGACGCGATACATTCGGGTACACAATTATTTTATAGAGGTTAATAACAATTTCGGGTAAATAGTTGAATAAAGTGTGAAACGCTGTTGAAATTACCCTATTACCCTCCCCCTTGTATCCGCGCCTGTAAGACAGTATATTAAGGCATGCGATATGCTACTTATTTCCTTACTTGAGATATTATTAATTCTATTTGTGTTCGTTTATGTAAATAACTTTGTAATAAATTATATAGGATGCATCACATTCATACAATAAACTTCTATTACATGAAAAAAAGGCACATGATATAGTTAGTAAAGAATTTATTTACTTATTTATATACTTCAACCGGACCACTTTTATTGTTGGAACAGCTGTTGGTAAAAGTCTTATTCTTGGTTTTGAGGTTCGATCAAAACAATCTGCTTTAAAATGGCGTGAACACAAAAAATTAAGATATTTTGGCTCACAATTTGTTTGTTGCATGAACTCAAGCCATAACTTTGTTTTTTGAGAATCTTTAGGAAATCTGAAAATTGTTTACCTGGGATTAATTTATATAATTTGTAAATTTAGAATCTTTAAGAAATCTGAAAATTGTTTACTTGCAATCAATTTATAAATCTAAATTAAACAATAATTTATTCATTTTAACAACCACATAAATATCTTAAAATTGCATAAAAGAATTGTTTAAATAAAAGTATATATACTCTATAAACCATGAGACTACGCCTATGAGCAGAGTTGATCGCAAATGCACTTACCATGTTTGTTTACAAATTTAAAACATTAAACATTTTAAAAATCTTTAATGTAGTTGAAAATTGAGAGAATAAAATACTTGCTTATGAAATGTAGATTATTCCTTTCTACTTTTAGCTGTGCTGCTATATCCACAAGACGAACAACTAAACATATTGTCTTGTTTGTCTTTTAACGCGGAAAATTTAAAATTAACAGTAATACTAAATAAATACTAAAACACTAAACACTTTTTAAAAAAGTCTACAAAACATACGCTTGATAAAAGTTTAAATTAACACATAAAACATCCAAATTATTTTAATCACTAAAATTATAAACCAATTTTAGAAACCATTTGTCAAACAACCCAATTAGTTAAATATGGCAGCTGCACATCTCAATAAGTGTATTATCAGGAGTGTCACAGGGGTCTCACTTAGGCCCCTTATTATTTTATTTATTTATTAATGATTTGAGTAATTCCATTAAAAATAGTGAACAGCTGGAGTTTGCCGTTGCCGATGATGTAAAAATGTTTAAATCTATAGAAAATATGTCTATTAATTGTTGCAAGAAGATTTAAACTGTTTGTCTCGTTGGTGTAATGTGAATTTTTTATGTCTGTATGTAAATAAATGTTACAAAATTAGTTTTAGTAAATCAAATATTATACATCAGTACTCATACACGATTAATAATAAGCCTCTTAAAGAGGTAGAAGATATCAGGGACTTGGGAGTTATTTTTGATAAGAAGTTGTCTTTTAGCATTTACATTGATAGTATTGTGTCAAAGACTTTTAAAATATTAAATTTCCTACAAAGAAATACTTCTGAATTGTCAATTGCCTCTTTTTAACACTTCAAAAAAGGCGGAGGTTCTCAATTCGTCGCAATATTTTTTTTATGTATGTTCAGTGATAATTCTTTAACACGGTGTCCGATTTCAATGATTCTTTTTTTGTTAGTAAGGGGGTACCTCAAGGGTGGTCCCATATAAATTTGGTTAAGATATCATCTGCACGTTTTTGAAGTCGGTTTTTTTTAATTTTTAATTTCTAATACTTGTAGTTCTGTAGACCTATTTGGTCTCCTAACTATAACATTTATATTGAATAGATAGAGAAGGTACAAAGTAAGTTTCTACGAATTTGTGCATATAAAGTGGAATGAAGGAGAGAAGAATATACATATAACGATATTCTTCACTCTTTGAATATGTTTACTCTCGAACATACGAGAATCGGATCTAATATTTCTATTCAAAATAATAAATAATTTGGTACTGTGTGATGACGTATTAACAATGATTTCGTTTAGTACAAATAATAGACGTACAAGACATACGGATCTTTTTCATATACCTTTCCATCACACGAATTATAGACTGAATGAGATGGTAACTAGCAGTTTAAAATTAAGAAATAAGTTCAATAAAGATTTGAAGTTGTTTAATGTCATTGTAGGTCGCTTTAAAAATAATATATCACTATGTAATTTCAATTTTATGTTAGTATTAAGATTATAAATGTATATTTATTTGTAAAAAAGGTTTCAACTAGTAAATAAATAATTGAGCTATGTATATTACGAAATTTAAACATTTGATTGACACAAGGTATTCACCTAGTAAAAGACATACCATATTTTTCGTCAAATAATTTAGATACTAGTTGGCCAGTATCTGATGTATTGAATCAAACCTATAATAAAAAACTAATGACTTATTTTCAAAATCGTAGTTATTTTTATTTTGTTATATTTCAGACGAAGAAGTACATAGCGTGAAGATGGTAATCGATCGACTAGATAACGATATAAAAGTTTGCAAACAGGAATCCCATATGAAAACGCTGGCTTACAACAAAATAGAACAGGACTACAAAAGGATGGCGGCTAGAAAATATAAAATTGATCAGGAGATATTCAAATGCATCCAAGGCGAAATTGAAAACGATGTCTACGGCAAAAAGGCTAAAAAGGTACGAATGTTCAAATATTTAACGTTTTTAACTTCCAGTACGGGAATGAGATACAGATGCTATTGCTGAATTTTTGTGATGAGAGATTTTTATTTAACAAATCATATATCAAGCACAATTTTTTTCTTTTCAATTAGATGTTGAAAGATCTAGCCGATAAAAAACGGGACGTAGAAGTGATTCTGAACGAAGTGGAAAATAAGAAGAGTGGGCTGCATTCTGAAATCGAATCGCAAAAGTTCAAAATCGAAGAACTTACTCGTATCAACGAAGAGACGAAAGAAGAAATGGGCAAACTGGACGAAGTGGCCAGGAAAATGAAAACAGAAATCGAAAAATTCGAGTTGCTCTATAGGAAAAAAGAAAAGTAAGAATTAAAAATTATTAGTTTTTTTGAAGGACCGTGATAAAGTACATAAATAAAATTGTATATTTATCTAGTAATTACGTGAGGTATTTTTGAGGATTTTTTGACCCCCTCTCCCCCCCTGGTGAGATTTCGTAAGATTTTCCTCAACTCTTTCCCCCCTCCCCTAATCTCTCGTGAGATTTTTCAAAATTTGTGTTTTGGTTGTAAATGCGTTGGATTATTAAAAAAACAAACACAATATGTTTTATTACTTTTATTTAAGACTAAAAATTTCTAGAAACATTCTTTACTTTAATTTAATTTTCACGCAATTTTACACCGTTTTATACTAGAAAAAAAATACGTCAGATTTACAAAGACCCCCCTCTCCCCCAAGTGAGATTTGGAAAGATTTAGCTTGATCCCCTCCCCCCCTGAACACCTCACGTAATTAATGGACGCCCCCTTATGTAGAAAACATATTTACAGGTTGAGGAATAGCTTGGACATTTTTTTGCATAAACTGTTCAAAAGTATTCTTAAAATTAGCCAATAACTCAATTATGACATTTGACTTGAAAAAAACTGTATAACCAAGACAATAAAAAGTGGATAAAACTTGATTTTAACTCTAGTACCACCAGGTGAACCTTGGGACATATCTCACCAGGTGAAGTTGGATACGACACTACCCTTATTTTATCATTATTTTGTGTAATAAAGGTATTAATGAATAAAAGATATCTTATTTAGAACTTAAAATAGTATATTATGCAACGATCATGTAATGATGGTTATTAATACACGAGCATTAACCGGGATACGAAACGAGCGAAAGGCGAGTTTCGTATGGTTTATGCGAGTGTTTTAATAACCATTACATGAGAGTTGCATACGCTATTTTTTCTACACCCGATAAATAATCAAGACCTATAAATATTATATTTATATTGGTATTGAACACAATAACAGTAATTACTCGTATTTCTATAAAAAATTCTACAAAATTGTAATTAATGGTATTACTTCAGGTATTGGTATTTCCCTAGATTTTTGCGGTAAAATATTTTGTACTGTATTTTCTGCTTTCTCCGATATGTGTGGAGGAGTCTTCTATATCGCTAATATCAGACATTTTAATATTATAATTATCGAAGTTTAGCTACCTACGAAAATTTAATACGTTTTGACAACTAAAATAATTACATAGGAACCTAGGACAAACGTCAAACAGCATGCTTGATTGAAAAATTGTAGGTTTCTATTGATTAAAAATCTGTATCGTAATGAAAAATCTGTATCATAATGGGTATCATTATGAAATGGATTATGGGCATATAAGTGCATTATTATAATACGGGTGTAGAAAAAGATTTATTCGAAGACCAACAAATATTTAAACGTCTAAAAACATTTCAAAAATAAAAAAGTTATTTATTGATATTGTAATGTTGGGGGCAAACTATTCGTTTGTGCTCACCACATACACTTTTTTTATAGTGGCCACAAGTATGGTTTCCTCTTCTTTTCTTTTGCCTATCACAGAAGGCACAGAGACCTGGTCTTTTGGAACGAACTTCATGGGTATCATCAGCCATGCTCACAACGGGAAGTTCTTTATTCAGCAAGGCACTAATTTGTGTTTGTAAACTAATTGTTATCCTTGGATTTTCCATTCTCTGCTCTGTTAAAGCGAATGACAAGTCTTTCAGAAATTGAAACCGTGACACAGGGTTATCCACATTTAGTTTATAAATTAGGAAGGCATTTACTGAAGCAGCATCAAGAACACCAAAAAGGTACCGCATAGGCCAACGGTTTGATTTCCTTTTAGTGGTTTTAGAATGGCACAACTGGTCAAAAACATCCACTCCACCTTTTGTCATGTTGTAAAACTCTATTATCTCGGGTTTGTTTGTAAGTGGATCTATATATCCAAGGGAATGCATGGATGAGATTAGAATTACGTTTTTATTTTTTTTTTTTGGGACGTACGACACTATCATTTTTTCATCATCGTACAAAAATCTTGATGTTTCAGGAGGAAGTCCTTTTACATCAATAAATGATTTTGGTATCTCCTTCTTATTTTTTCTGAGCGTGCCGACTAAAGTTAGTTTATTATTTCTAAGTTCTTCAGCCAATTGACAAGATGAAAACCAATTATCAGTCGTCACATTTCTGTTGGTGTTCTTTATACATTCTGTCAGAGTCAGCACATATAGTGTTGGTAACAGCAAATCACTTTGCTGTCTGGCTTCTTTGCCAACATATGGGATTCCTCCACAGAAATAATATGTTCTAGCATCGCAAAGGGAAACAATTTTTAATCCGTACTTATCAGGTTTATTTGGAATGTACATTTTGAATGGACATCTGCCTCTAAAACTGAGCAAAGTCTCATCAAAGGTGACGTAGTCAGATGGTGTGTAGTTTTCCCTGCAATTGCGATCAAACAAATTCCAAAATTCTCTGAAAGGCGCAAATTTGTTAGTTTTTCTCCGTTCTGCTCTTGTGACTTTAGAATCAAATCGAAGAACTTGCAGTAAAAACTCAAAGCGATTTTTGCCCATGGCACACCGAAATAGACTAGGACCAAAAACTGGGGAGAAAAGATCTAGCACTGTCAGGCCTGATTGTTTCAGCACACCAACCATATATAGAAGACCAATGATTTTAGTTCCGATTTATGGGTCAGACTAGTGTACGATTGTTGAAAATCACCAGTATATGTCAGTTTCCATTTCTCGATTTCCTCATTAGTGTGCCTCACTACCGTTTCAATCATCTCGTCGGTAACAAAAAGATGAAAAATATCTATGACACTTGTAAGACCTCTGGCTCTACCTTTTGGTCCAGGAAGATGAGTAACAATGTTCTTTGCACGGCAACGAGAATAAATGCTATTCAACGGTGTGTCAGTCCAAATAGTTGTATTATCTTTACCCAGAACAAAATTTCTCTCATGCTTCAGAGCTTCAATACTCTGAGTTGTCACTTTCGTAGGAATCTGCAGGGGGCACATAATCGTCATCTTCTGGATCATTATCTGATAAAACGGTATCTTCTGTTTCACTTATACTGCCAGTTATTGATTCATCGTCACTGTCCCCCTCTTCTATTTTCGCAATTTCGGCCAATAATTCTTTTTTTGATAGCAACCTTCGATTAGCCATTTTGCATAAATAAAAATAAATGTAAAAATTATTGCATAAACCACCAGGTGGATTCGGATCCGACACTTTAGGCGACAAATGATAGAAAAAACTACGTTACACTCGTCTAATTCAGCGTGCATGTAGACTGAATGTCTAGGAGGGTATTTAAGCGGACCGAACGCTAACCCACCTCCTCTTTCTCGTACGGACAAAATGGCTACGTCGATGTCGTATCCGACGTCACCTGGTGGTACTAGTGTTAAAAATTAGCCTAATCACATTCTACTTGTTGCGACTTTAGAGACGTCTACAAAAAATTAAGATGAAAGTATAGTATATTAAATTACGAAGAAAATTACACTTTCGCAAACCTGATGTACATTATGGAGGATTAATCTAGATGCGGCTGGTTTTATGTTCTGCTTTGGATTACAGAAATGAGATTCGATTCCAAATAAAAAGCATTTTTTTATTTGTTGTTTTTCCAATTATTACATAGATACTATAGAGTACGATTCAACTAAGAAAAAGCCACACACATCATACCTGACAATGGCCGCAATAATTTGCCTCTCTCTCAGGTCCATCCCATTTAAGCGTCAGTGGCGTTTTGGCGATTTTTTTCGTTTTTCTAATATGCTTAATAATTGTTTAATAATTTGGCAACGCTGTACGACTGCCGCATGGTCCAGAATATAATTATTCGAACAGAAGCTATCGCGTTAACATGGATCCCTTATTTGTGAGCCAAACTTCGGCGTTGCTAAGCTTTTACTTACGAACAAAAATACGGGTTCACCGGGAGAAAGTGAAGACAGCGAGAGTACTATACTCTGTTTTTAAACTAGGAGGAGCGAATTGAAAAGACGCATTTACACAGCGAAAAGTAACTAGATTTGTTACTAAGAGCGAGTTTCGAAATATAGTCGTGTTCAAAATTTATGAAATAATTATCTTTATCGGCCTTAGTCGGTGAACGGCCAATGAGCGGTTAAGAAACGAATAAATGTCATAGAAGTAATTTTTTAATTGGTCCCAGACAACGGTCGCAAATTTCAGATTATTGTGATCTGTAATGTGTGTCTAAAACGAAATGTCACTGTCAAATTAAAGTCAATATGGTTGTTGATTGATGTCAAAAATACTTTTTTCTTGCTTCTGAAATCGACGTTTTTTTGAGAATAACTATGATCTTTTTAAAATGGATATTAAATATTTAAGAAAATTGTTAATGGAATATCCAGATGTAGCCAGGTTAGTATAAAATATAAAGATCTGTTTACATTTTTAAGGTTATATTTGTTATAGGTATAAAAAGTAAAAGTTAATCAGTGAATGACAAGTGTATCACACAGTAACTGGTATCTCTTCTATGAGTAATGTGGATAGTATGGCTTATTTAGTGTTAACCCATGGTTAATGCTCTAGAGGGCAAATAAAGGCATTCAAAAGTTTACAGGCCTATGAGTCAGAATTTGTTTTGAAAACTGGAACCAACATAGTCAGAATTTGTTTTGAAAACTGGAACCAACATTTTCATAACACTACATGTCAACATATATTTTTTAAAGTGAACTATTCATACATACCTATGTATTAATTTTAAGTATTTTTAAAATATTTTTTGTGAAAGTAATGTTAACTCATTGTGCCAAATTAAGATTATCCCTAAAGTAGTAGATGGTATTTTAAATGTTATAACAATTTTGTAAATAGTTTTATTCTATTCTAATAAATAAAATTTGCTTGAATATTTAGTTACATTTTAATCATTTTGGTTAGAAATTCATCAATTTTTAGTTTTAAAAAATCAGTAATAAAATTATTTTTTTCTAAAATACTTCGGAATTCATCTCTTCATGGTAATTTCCCATCTTTTTACCTTCAAAAACCAATAATGCATTTTCTACAAAACCTTCAGAATCAGCATGTAAAATAATAAGTTGTCTTCCCTTTCTTGTAAGGCTTTTCAGGAATTGTTACCTTTAATAGTACTCAGTGTAGAAGGATCCATAATTGTATATTTTCAATACAATTGCTTACTGAAGAACTATTATTTACGAAATAAAGTAGAAAACGTAATGGATGAGATATCAAATTATAAAATGTCAGAACTGTCAATAATATCAATTATTAGCTGATGTTCATGCTAAAAAGTAATGTGTGAAACTGACTGTAATCTGACCAATCAGAAGGCTACAGAATTGCCAACTTAAATTCAAATCGCTCCTCTTAGTTTAAAAACAGAGTATAATAGTTCATTAACGGACGAACTAGGATGTACTCGTCTAGTTTCACTTTTTGCACTAGTTGCATAAATAACTATTATTTTAATTATAATAAAAATCTTAAATTACAAAATTGTGTTGCTATTTTTATTTACTTCCCACTGAATGTTTTGCAAGTCTAAAGTCGAAAAATATATGTAATGTTATTTTAGTTTCATTATTTAGGTAATATACAAATGTTTAAATCATTAAAATTTAACTTTTTAATCCAATAAATGTTTTTTGTTGGGAAACTGCTTTAATTCTTATTTAAATAAGAGCCTACGCCACTGGTATATCGATCTGGAGCAACGGAGAAGGAATATTTTAAAATGAGGCAGACGATGACTAGTTGATGACGCCCGTGGATTTTTCTAAGTTGAATCGTACTTTACACTATACGAGGGCCACCAGGCAGGACCTCGTAAGTCGCAAAATCTACATTTTTCAGGAGATGGAAAAAACGATTCACAAGTGCATAGAACTTAAATTCACGATTTATAATCAACAACAGATTTATTATATCTCTCAGTTTGTGTTTTTAGTGAAAAGCGTTGAGCACACGACGGAAGAAAAAACAAAGATGTATTAGAGGTCAAAAAGAGTCTCATTGTTTGTCTTGTCGTGTGAAAGTGTAAATGCTTGCAATTGCGGATGTGTCTCGTCGTTGTTGTCAGTAATATTTATTAATCGCCGTTCTTTCTAAGTTTGGTTAACCTATCTGTTTTCTACACTTTTGTTTATTAATCTTTCATACTAACTGATATTTTGTTAATAATGTTACCTTTTAATTGAAATTCCGTGAGACAATATAATTTATTTTAGCCACATGTTTACCAGTTTATTTATTCAACAGACACGTTTTAACGCTAAACGAAAAACTAGAACAAAAACTGGCCGCCAAAGACCTGGACAAAATCGCCAGAGCGGAGATGAAGATAATAGACCTGACGAAATTAACCGAAGAATGCCAACAAGCGATCAAAAGCTTGCAAGTCTTTTGGATGCGCGAACAAAAGAACATCTTGGCGGTGGCTAAGGATCGCCAGGAGCAGATCCATAACATCAGTGTTTTAAGGAAGCAGGTGCTCATTTTGGAGCAGAAAAACGTTAGGATGTGCGACGAAATCGAAGAGCTGAAGAAAAACGAAGAACGAACCCAACATAGAATAAATGTGCTTACTAACAAAACTTCGATACTAAACGAATGGGTTAATAATAAGAAGAACAAGAAACAAAATTTGGATAAATCTAATACACTTCTTCAGGTAAGTGTCATAATCATCGTCTCTGATTAATAAATTGTAAAACATCAGATTAGCCTTCTGAGAATAAAAAAAAAATGGTATTACTAGCAAACTGTAGACTCAGAAATTAGTACTCTTTTAGAAAAATAAATATTACATAATTGTTTCATAGCGATCTTCGTCTTAATCCGCGCTGAAATTCTCATTTTGTTGAACATTGCAAATCAATTCCCTACTTTGGCGCGTCGTAGATCGAAAACTATTGGCCGCAGACAAAAAAATGTGAAGGTCAAAATTATGCACGATTTTGTCCTGTACATATTTCATTTTTTTTGATAGCACTTACCACAACGGCGCTATTTTACGAAAAGCGTCTCGACGCAGAGTTTTCATCCCTCCACCCCTCGAGCGGCAACCCCCGAGGTCGCAAACTTAGGTGTATCAGAGAACCCATGTCTACCATCCCACCAAATTTCATTTCTTTCCAACCTTCTGCGAATAGACCTCCTTATTCTTTACCCACCGCTTGGACTAAATCTTGGTCAAGACAAATTTTTAGTATAAAGGTTGAAGTTATTTTTAGTAAGAAGGTCGGTCCTTGATAATAGAAAAGGTTTTCTCTCTGGGAACGTTGGTGAATAAAATGCTAACATCAAAAGAAACTAACTTAGCTTCAGAACTTAGATTTATGTTTTTAATTTTGTTAACTAAATCAATTGAATTTAAAACAGTATATTTGGGTTTGGGTGTATAATTAAAAGAGATATTGAAAAATTTGACAAAGAAAGATACAGAAGAATTGAAGAAAGTGACTACAGGTCTCATTGGGATCTCTCATTATGTATTTTAGGCAGGCCATACAAACGAGGCAAATAAGGATTTTTTAAAATGAAATAATTGACAGATAAAATGTCCCTTCAGTGAAAAAGTTTTTATATTTGGTGAGTCTCCGAGCAATTACTAATAGAGGGAGCGTGAAAACGAGTTTGTAGGCGATTGTTGTGTTAACAACATCTATAGAGGAAGTGAGGAAGCGGGCACAAAGGGGAAGGTAAACATCCTTCTTGTTCAGTGGCGTATCATTTATCTATAAAAACACACATTGTCCAAACGTTTTAATTATAAAAAAAACTAAAAAATTTGCTAATTTTACTATTTTTAAAATGAATACCGTCTTATATGTGTCTAATGAAGGAAATGAAACAAAATCACTGTAAAGGTCTAATTTTTTCAATTGAAGAATAAAACCTTAAAATCTATTTTATTATAAATAAATACAGGAGCGACTAGTTTCGGCCTTACAGGAACATCTTCAGGCCTGTAATACAATAATATTTAATTATTATAATAGGTTGGTCACTTACAAACATTAAAAATAGTATAAACCACAAAAATGGATCCATATTGTAGCGTTACAGCATTATAGAATTAAAGCTGTGAAAATAAAAGAGCAGTGCAAACGTAACTAAAAATAAGAACACTGAGTACGGAATCTACAAGAGAAGAGGTGAATATGAGCAATTACGAATGCATTTAAATTGCTCGAGATAACAAATAAAGCTGATAATGTAGTGGTATAGTCCCCGTCAAAGAAGGTCTGGATATGTTAAAGAGGACGGCGTTTTCTCTGTAAATCTGGAGAATGTAAGGATGGAGGGAAGACGAATCTTGCTGGCTCAGGTGAAGATGGCTAGAAAAAGGGGCGTGTAGATGAAAGCTCCAGTAAATATCGTCACTTTCGTCTAATTTTTTATTCTCACTCACCGTTTCAGCTTTATCTTCGAAATTCATTTTTAAAAGGAAATAAAAGTAATCATTCATACAAGCATATAATAAAACAACATGAATTCATTATATTTAATAAGCTAATAAACGTTTGTTTCAATGAAAAAAACATATATGTGAATATAAAAAATATATAAATAGATAAGATTAATATCAAAATCAATTTGAAAATACAACAGATAATAAAATGAAATAAATTAATAGAAGTACAAATAGAAAGTTAATAACATACCTTCTAAAAGTAACACATTTTAAGTAGATAAATGATTAAAGAATTTATTCCTGAACATAACTAATCTAACGTTTTCCCCCTTTTTAATATTATGAGGGTTTTTGTAGTTGAAATGAAAATTATAATTTATTTTGGTCCTAATAAAAATTTAAACATAGGTCATCAAAGAGTAAAATACATAATAGAACTTCATAATCTTAAATCGTTATCAAAAATTATTAATGGTAAAACTTCAAACAATAATTAGATTCTTAAACAAATTTCTAGTTTTTGTTTTGCAAAAGACCTTTTTGCCTTCTTCGGTTGCCTCTGCCACTTTTCTGTTAGTAGTTTCGAGGAGAATTTTCCTATGGAAACCAGTAGAACCATCAATTGGTTTTTAAAATTTTGATATTTTGGGTCTGGTAAGTCTTGTTAAACTTTCTTCTTAGGAAGCTGTAACCTTATGGAGAATAAAAATTTAATGTTAGATCAAAAGCTCTTAATTGAGAATTATATTTGCAAAGGCCGTTTTAATAATATTTTCAAAAGTTCTTGGAATCGTTGTTAACAGAAACCTGCAAAAAAATATATCATTTTATTCCTAAAATATAAGATATCACACAATGCACATTCATATATCATTGTGCTAGAAAAATACTAGGTAGGTACTGAGACAATTTAAAAAAAGTATTTCGAGAAACTCAACTTTTAATGTCATCATTGTACTTAACTTTTTAATTGCTAAATTATTAATAATGTCATTTTCTGTAGTTCGTTGTGATTTGTATTATATATATTATAAAAACCTATCGTCAATGTTAATGTGCCAAGTTTTTTTAATAATTATGTCCTTGTTATAGTAAAAACACATTTAAACACATTTTTAAAGTTTTCTGGATTTCTGCTTTAAATTATCGTACAATTGAACTGACTAATTGTGTGTTTAAGTAAAGGTATATCTCTTTTTTGTTATAACAGTCTTTGTATATTGTTCTAACTTTTTAGATAATCAGAGAAAACAGTAAGACATCTTAATATATTCTATTTCACCAACAAAAATGTAGAATAATTAATCTCTCATCAAACGAAAAAAGTCATTTTAGGATGTCCTAATAGGTTTTAACTTAAAAACTAAATAAAATGTATATTGCAACTGTGTTTAAATAAATGAATGTTTTTATACCTGATTATAGCACCAAACATTTTTTTAGATCATAATGATCTGCATAACTCAAAATAGTCAAAATCCACATTATTTAAGTTGTTCTAGTATTGTTTTAGCATAACGTTGTAGACTCCAATAATAAATATTCACATTTTTTTTGGGACGTTTTTTAAGGAAATTAAAAAAACATGAATAATGTGATATTCTTGTTTAGTTTTGTACTATATAATATAGTTCATTAGGTAGTGATTTAGAAGCAAATTATGTTCTATTTATAGAATAAAAAAATCACTCATAATATCTAAATATTTATACAGGGTGGCTCACGCTCAACGGGACGAAGCTTTATGGGAAAACGACCAAAGATATACAAAATTCGTTTGGGAGGAATACGTAGGTTACAGACGGCTACAATTTAAAATTTGTTAGATGTATACAGGATGTCCCACATGAGAAAAAAAATTAGTTCATTAAAAATTATTCAAACAAGAGTAAACAATTAATTTCTGGGAGACTTTTTTTCCTTAAAAATTCAAATAAATCGAAAACTAATAATAATAGTAATAGGGAACCTTTAGTTAACTGACATTATTTTTGATGTAGTTTTTAATTCTAAAATAAAAAACAGGGTGTTCCATTAAAAATAATATAACTTTGTATATTTTCTCTTATGTGGGACATCCTGTATACATATAACAAATTTTAAATTGTAGCCGTCTGTAACCTACGTATTCCTCCCAAACGAATTTTTTATATCTTTGGTCGTTTTCCCATAAAGCTCCGTCCCGTTGAGCGTGAGCCACCCTATATTTTGGACAGGAAGACTATTTTATGTTTTTGGCTCTGAATAGTTTTCTTAAGAATTTTAAAACCTTCCTTAGCTCTTTTGGGATATTCCATGCATATCTTAGAAGTTCATTTTGTTTAAACATAAAACAAATTAAGTACAAAAAATGAAAATTTAAACAATACACAAAATTAGTCTTTTAGATTAGTTAAAAAAAAGTGTCAACAAAAAAATGGCTATGCCTTTTTCCTTAAACATTCTTTTTGAATGAAACTTAAATTTCTCTACTTACTTGCTGTTTTAGTATTTTAGTAGCAGATAAATATAGTGTAGAAGTAGTGACAGGATTGATTATTATACTTCTTTCGTCGAAATTGCATTTTTCTTTAATATTTTCCTCCCCTGAGGTCTGTAATAAAAATGTTCATTAGCATAAAAAGTTATTCAGGTGGTCACTTGTTGAATTCCTATATTTTGGAACCATGTATTTCTTTCTCATATCAAGAAAAGGAAACCTAAAAAAAAATAATAAACTTTACAAAGATATGATATTAAAATAATAATAAGTAATTAACGTTTATTATAATCATTATGAGACGGATGAAGACGAACTTAGCTGGAGTTGACTTGCTCTTAATTTTAATTTTTCTATAAGAAAATAAGAAAGTTTAATTGCAAATTAAAGGTGATTGCCTAATGCACCGCCTTTGATAAATAGGTTGTGTCTGTACTTACTTATGATATTATCTTGAAGAAGCATTTTCAACAGGCCTTTTAAACATAAAGCATGTTTTCACCATATTATTAGAGATAATAAATCTTAAATATACATTTACAACCCTTACAACGTTATAAATAATAATATTTTCCGTAAAATACAAATAAGAAATTGACATGTGTCAGAAAGTGTCAGAACTGGCGCTGTCAAACTTGGCAACGCTGATTAAATAAGACACTTACAGGAGAGGTATTTTCCCCCTCGGGGGGAGTAGATGTTGCTAACAAAATTTAGCGCGGGGAAGGGGGGAAGACTCCCTCTAGTAGTAATTGCTCGGAGGTGAGAGTAGATTTAAACAATGTACTTCTGCAGAGGGTTGGAGTTCAATATTGTTAAGAAATTCTTCCACTTTAAGTATGTAGTTCTCTTTGTTCATGATAACTAAGCAATTTCCTTTGTCAGCCTTAGAGATAATGAGATTATTGTTAAGTAATTTGTCTTTAATGGATTTTAGTAAATTAACATGTTGTTTAATAAGTGTTTTTATGGGGTTCAATAGTGTTAAGGGATAAATATTGAAAATGGAGATGCAGTGTGATTTCAAAAGATTGCTTAGATCAATGTCATTAGAAACGTGGTTAATAATAAAATCTACACCAATAGACAGTTCTTCAATATCTTAGGTTTAACTGCAAATTTTAAACCTAAGAAGAGAAACTCAATTTCATTATCGTTAAAAATAATGTTTGACAAGTTTTTAACTTTGTCATGAAAATTAAAGGAGGAGAATTTATGTCGAAAGTTAGAAGATTGATTGTATTTTTTATGTATTAAGTTGTTAAGTTTGAGCTTTAATTTGTTGAATTTAATATGTTTAAAAAACCAACATCATCCTGAATGTCGTTAAGATTAACTTGCAACAATTGATAATGAGTTACCTGATCACCAGTTGATCATATAAAATTTTGAGATCAATGTTAATGGCATTGATTTTAGAGTAGATTTACAAATTTCAGAGTGAATGATCCTCTTCTCAATGTTGTAGGAGAGCTTCTTAGGTAGTTTCGCTTTAGCAAATGAACGAGTGACTCGTTGGTTTTGACATTGATGAAGGAACCAAATATCGAAATATTTGATCTTTTCATCGCTAATCTTCTATAAGTTTGCACCAATCTATCCATATCGATAAATTTATCTATTTGTTTATTAAATTTTGAAATGCAATTTAAAATCATGTAAGCATCATTATTGCTAAACCCACAATTTTTTTCATGCCTTGCATGAATTTGAACCAAGAGTTTTCGTAAATAAGTTTTTAGCTTCGAAAATAAATGGCCTACTTTAGAAACATTTGTTTGTGGTTCAGTCCATAGCATGATACAAAAAACAGAAGTATGATATTTAGCTGACGAAATTTGGTCGCGTTCGCGCATAACGTATAGTGGTGTGGAATATGGTTATCTGATTGGCCATGAGCCGATTCAAATTTATTTTCGCGTGTTTTCATCAGCTGATACGTCAAATTCGTAAAAGCCACGCCGTCACCCTGTCGTATAGTATCAATCTGCGTAATATCATACATTCTTTTTATAGTATCATGAGTCCATAGTATTGAAGATTTGTGTATTCGGGTGATATTTAAATATCTTCTTTGTCAGAATAATGAAGCTTTTTCAATAAACGCTCTACACGATACATTAGGTACTTGTTACTTTATTTGATCTAATTTAACCATTTTTAGAATGAATTCGAATCAAAATTGCAAGAGGCCGAACTAGAAGTACTTAAATTAGAAGGAGATATAGCCGATATAGAAGACGATAAACTAAATTTAAGCAAAGAACTAATAGAAATAAACAGAGAAGGATTAGAATGGGAGAAAAAGTTCCATATGACGAAGGAGTTCGTCAATAAAAACAATAAGTTCGGAGAAGTGAATAATATGCGACAAGAGATACATAAAATGGAGGTGATTTACGGCGGTCTGAAAAGATCGCAGGACAAATTGGTTAGAGAGTTGAAGAACTGCGTTTGGCGGAGGGACGCTATGTATTTTGAATCAGAAGTTAGACAGAAAACTGAAAAAAGTAAGGTATGTAAAAAAAGTATATGATACTACTAGGCGTAGAAGACGACATTATTATTTAGTGCAGGAACTTATAACGACTGGCGAAACATATACAGACACTCCGTTTAAACTAATGGCTTAATTTGGGCGCTAGACAAAGTTGTTTATGGACTAAATATATAGTTTTGGAACAGTTATTTCATTTAAGTGAGTAGAATAACTATGTTCATTCGGGGCCATTCCTTATGTAAATTAACTAATGTCCATTCTGGTAATTTTTGTCTCTTTAAAGGTAACACGCCAGTTCTCGCTTGTCAGCAATCAACAGTCATGTCATCTATCAACAGTGTTGCCAGTCTGTCATCTGTCACAGTGTGACCAAACGTCTGTCATCTGTCAACAGTGTTACCAAATATCTGTCATCTGTCAATCCAGTGTTGCCAACATATGTCAACCTAACCTGACAGTTGGTGTTACAAGAATCACCAACTGTCATCTGCATAGTCCACTCTCGCCGTGCTTCATGCCGCCGTACAACCTAGGCAACCCATCATATACCTATATTGATACATATAGATGCTTTTAATTAACCTATATAGTGATATATTTTTTTCTAATTAAAAAAGTTTGACATGGCCGAGGGTCGAACTCGGGACCTTAAGGCCGGTACAGATCTGAGCACGTACGTGTATGAGGCAAGCCGAGGCCAACCGGAATGCCCCGTGCGACGCATTTTGTGCACACAAATAGTAGACGCACGAGGAACTGCTCCAGTAGACATGGGTAACGCACTCAAATTCTTTGCGTTGATACACTAACTCCGGCGCACTCTATTGCGCCAACTCATTGCGTTAACGCAATTGCGTTATTGCGTCACACCACTGCCTGAGCCACTTACTTTGATTTGCTTTTACTATACGGAGAATGGTCGCACTGCGCAGCTTTCTGAGTGCCTTTTAAAAGGAGATAGAAAACTCCGCCATTTTGAACCCTTATTACGTGTTGCCTACATCTTGGCGCAATATGTTTAATAGGTGCGTTTTAATCATCCGCTTCTGCTTCGGAATTGTCGGTTTTCTTGTTTTAATCTGACAGGTTAAAACGACTAAACCGACAATTCCGAAAGCAGAAGCGGATGATTAAAACGCACCTGATATTTTGCTTGCTGCTGTCAGTGTCAGTGAATATTATTTTTGAAGTCACAGTCTATTGCTAAAAAATCAGTTAGCTCACTCGGACCAGTTGAAAGTTCCAAAATAACATCCACTCCAGGGATACAAATTCAGGATACGCAGAAGACTGCTGTTGTATTATAGGCGGTTGTCATATATTGTACTATCCGAGTTGCACAGTGTATAAACTGAAACATTGAGATCAAAAGTGCCGACGCAGAGTGAGCGATCTGATTCTTTAGCTGTAAACTGTGTCACAGGGTTCAAAATGGCCGCGCCCTATGTTGGGCGTATCGGACCTCTCTCTTTCCTCGTATAGTAATCAAAGTATGTGGTGTACAAGGTTAAAATCCATAAAATTCGACCTACAATCCTACAAATGATGTGACATGTTGCAAAGAATATAATTACTTGATAGATTTTGGGTAATCTGCATTACGAGTTGCATCAATTACGTAAATTAAAATTCTCAACTCTTCACGGAAAACGGAATCAGTGCCTGGCGCATGGAGCATCAACAACTCGCGATTCTTTCGACTCAGTATCGAAAATTGCGTTGTGCTGATACAGTAACAGCTGGTGTATCAACGCTCGTAATGCATACAACTGCGTTAACGCAATAACGCAACGCAGAGCTGCGTTACCCATGTCTATGCTCCAGTGAATTCGTGAATACGGAACCGTACACCCAGAACACTCGTATAATTAAATCAAAAATGAAGGATGTGAATGACGTCTGAGAATTGAGTGCCTGTTTTAATATTTTATCTTGCTCTCCAGATATATTGTTAATTATATAAATTCAGGAGAAGCAAAACGTTTTCATGCAAAATAAACCTTGAAAACTCGCTATAATCTGTTCGGTACACATACCCCGTCCAGACTGAGCACGTACTGCACTGCACATTGCCTCCCTTTGATGTACCGCCAATAAACGGCTCAGGGCGAGGTCGTACGGCGCACAGAACGAGGCGATTTACCGCGCCTCGGAAGCCCGTCCACATCTGCATGCTCATGCGTCCTCGGCTTGCCTCATACGCGTACGTTGACAGATGGCAGATTGGCAACACTGTTGATAGATAACATAACTGTTGATTGCTGACAAGCGAAAAGTGGCGTGTGACCTTGAAAGAGACAAAAATTTCCAGAATGGACCTTAGCGATTTCCCATGTTAATTTACATAAGGAATGGCCCCGAATTAACATAGCTACTATACTTTTAAGTGATTTTGGAATTTAAAATTAAATGGATTTCTCTTTCTCTTATTACTGTGGCCCCCACATATGGGCCCTCGCTATTGTATTCGTGCCTACGGGAAAATTTTCTTATCTCCACTTTTAACACTGCTCCACGTTTCCTAAAAAGCAAAAAAATCTTGGCTGGATACCTGTGCGTGCGTATGTATGTGCGACAGCATAATAACTCAGCAACAAAAACTCTGATGCGGTTTTAATTTTACTTGATAATTTCTTCCAGTTGATTATTCTAATCATTTTCAAAAATTTCGGTTTAGTGTTTTAAGTATTAATGTATTCTTATGGAGCTTATTTTATGCCTTGTAGTACGGGTCCTAATTTTACTAGATATGGCTGTCATTTTTAAAAGTGTAATAAATGAATTAAATAATTTTATTTGAGTGATAAAATAATTTAAGTTGAAATTAATGTGGATCTTACACGAATTACATACGAATTACCCGAATTACATACGAATTACATATGAATTTACATATGAATTACAAATGAATTACGATGTTTTTTGCATTAGTTTTAAGGAATTCCAGAACGGAACGGCTCAAATATTATTTTTATATGGGCCGGCGTAAGGGGTAAAAGGACCAAATATTTTCCATACGTTTTCACATTGACAGGACTAAGGGGTAATGGGCACGATTATTTTTATATAAATTGGTTTTGAAGTTAATTTTGCAAACATCAAATAACATGGAATGGTTTTTGAATTTGAAGAACTTTTACGTGGTTTAGCCCAAGTAACACAATGTTTCACACACCTGAAAATTCAACGACTCAATATCGTATAACTTACAGTTTTTGTTCTTTTGGAACTTCTACATTTTAATCATTTTATTTCTTCCGCTGTTTTAATACGCTAGTTCAGTGATGATGTAATTATGGTTCCACTGACAATTAAAGTGACAGTAGATTTTTTTGAGTGCGTTTTGTTCGTTTTGTTTACCTAAATTATATAATTTTTTCTCGTTTATAAATATATTCCTAAAGTAAGTAGATAGCATGTATCAAATATACAATCGTTTAGTTACCAGTTACATACCTTTAAACTATTTTTTACGACCTGTAAACAATATTTTGAAATAAAATAAAAACAGTAAAAACGTATATGTCAAATTTGTTGATGTTTTTGTTAAAAGTTTGGTTAGAATTAAACGTCAGTGGAACCAAAATGATATCACACTGAACTAGCGTATATAGTTTGTTGTAGCATGTGGTCGAAGTATTCTTATCATCTTCCTCTTCAATTTCAAATTCGTCTTCTTTGGTTTTTATGTACCGAGTGGCCAAATAACAGATATGTTAGAAACCGTCAGCTGTACAATAAAACCCTGTTTCAGCCTAGCTTTATTGGGCTTGACATTTACTGCCTTCGATCATGGTGGACTGTATGACTGTATTCGAAATAGATTACCTGGGGTGAAGGCCTTAGCTCCACCCTGTAGCCTCTGGAAGATACTCTTGAAGGTCTGGTTGAAGCACTGGGTTTATTCAAATAAAACTATCACCCTATATTTGAATTTGATATATTCACGGCTTGCTGATTTCACATTTTACACATTTACTACTTGGTTACATAAATTTATTGATCGATTACATGTTAACTTCTGTAAATCAAATCGCACAAATGCTTTAAATTAACTTACGGCGACTGCCGGCCCTTTTAAAGAGTTTTACTTGTTTGTTTGACTGACTGAGCGAAAGTGAGTGTTCCGTTTTTCGATGCATGCCTATTAGGTCGCATCGGTTTTACCGGCTTTCTTCTAATTGGTTATCTAGTATCTTAAGATTGCGCGCGAGAGTCATGATTGGGTGAAAAAATCTCGTGAGACTTTGTTTTGATTGTTTGCGAAGTCGCAGGTGTCTGAAGGTTATTTGAAAGTTAACCGGTTTGTTTTTCCACAACTTTAGATAATTAGTTTATACAGGGAGTGTCTATCTAGTATTTTATTCTTTTTTTGTATTTGAATGCTGATTTAGATTAGCGGATAGGACATGTTGAATGTAATTTCAACAAATCCATATTTGCATATATACTAAAACATCACAAATACAAACAATACTTTGTTGTACTTTATAAATATTTCAATTAATAACAACAATGTTGAGTTTTAGTTTTTTTTTTTTTTTTAGAAAAATGCGGATAAGATAAGAATAAACTTTCAAAAAAAATTAGACAACGTAAAGAACCAAATAAAGCAAGTAAAAACTGAAACGCAATCTATGAAAGCCAAATACAAGCACGACGAAGATAAAATCAAAGAGATAAACAAACAAATAGAGATAATGCTTAAGGAACCGGTATTTAACAAGGATTACAAGGGTCTCCTCAGACATAAGTTGGATGAAATGAAAATCAATAGGCAACTCAAATTCGAGTTGCTGGTCTTCAAACAAAGAAAGGCCAATATGCATTCTTTAATCGCCAAGAACAGAACCCCTTTTACCCTCTACAAAAAAGACGAAGATTTGATTTCAGAATATCAAAAGGCGAAAGAGATCAACAATAAATTATTAAAAATTGCGGACGATTTGAGGCAATCATTTACAGATAAAGCTAATGACTTTATCAAAATGCGCAATACTCTCAGCATAGTGGCTCTTTGTATGTATACATAAAATCTGTTAGTTATAAATGTACAATAAATTTTTTTTTATATATTTTCGTTGAAATTTTTTGCGCAAAATCCCAGGAGCCGTATTCTATAACCATGGGAATAAGAGTGTGAGTACTCTCTCACGATTTGGCCTTGCTGCGCATGTCACTCAATTAAAATTATAAGGAATCATATGTTGCAAGATGTACGATAATTATCTTATTTGTACGATATATTGTAGTGTTAATGGCCCTGTATATCCCTATTAAGAAAAAAAAATCAAATTTTAAGTCGAGACCGACGCGTATAGGATGCGCCACCCTGTATAAGCATTTCAATTTTGGCTTATTTGAAATGTTCAGTTGTTTATGGTAACTTAAAACTTAAATACGTCAGATTTACAGATACTCATAAAGTTAACTTTAATTTAAGTTATTCATTTTGTTATATAGTAACAATTAAATTAATGTATAATTGACATATTATAAAAATAGTGACATAAGAAAAATATTTTAAATGCTATTTATTTGAAATTTAAATTGAAGAAGATAACATTCTTCGTTTTAAGAAGCTGTAATAAGTTTGTTATAATCTTAAAATTTAAATTGAAATCAAAAAAGTGGTTATATTCATGGGCAGTGATTGGTTAAAACTTATTATGGGAAACTAGACATCAAATACACATTTAAATGAAAACAGTTACGAAATGCCTTATTATATGTAACGAGTGAATACTTGCGGGACGAGCAAAGCCAGGTCCCGGAATATAAACAAGTTACATAAAACGACATTTCGTAATGTGTTACATACAATATTTTTTTTAATTTTGACTAGATTATTTATAAAATTGTGTTTTGGTAAAGCATTACTGATATCTAGGCAACCAATATTACTTATATTGTTAGTTGCATATGTATCATTTGACAAATAAAAAATAATATTAATTATTTATTCTTAACGACTTGTATTGTTATTTAGTTTTCAAAAAAGTGGGTTATTTAGTCGTATATTGTTTTATTTTGTGCTGATTTAGAATGGAAAATACCCAGGCAGCACACATTAGTATAACTAACGTATTTTATACGTAATACTCGTTTAATTTTGGTATTAGTTTTCTATTAGTTTTCTACGTTTAAATGTAGTTAACAATATACGACTATTTTTAGTTTGCGATGAACTATTTATATACAGTGGGTAATATACGTTTAGGTTTATTTAAATTAAATTCGTATAAATTTAGATATTACAATGTGTTCTTCGTTTATAACTCCCGTTTAAATTTCGTCTTGGTTGATTTTTTAAACGGTTACCATCTACCATTTTTATACTTAACGTTTTTTAACAGATACATTAAAAACGCTTTTGTTTGTGGATACTAGTTAATATACCTATATTATTCTACGTTTAAATATAAGTTACCTTAAACGCATATTTCCAGTTTACGATGAACTAGTAGACAGAAGTAAATAATATGTATATATTTAGGTTTATTTAAATTAAAAGCTTATAGATATATTTATTTACATTACACCATATTTTTTTAATTATATTACCTGTAATATTTATAACATTCCCCATTGTACCGATTTCAAACACCCTTACATTTAAATAACCCGCCAATAACTATGGTGGGGTGGACTAGTCCATGTCGTTTCAGTGAGCGAGATTCGGGGTGTGCTGGTCCAAAGTGCGCGTAGTGCAGAGAATCGAGAGGGGAGTAAGGTACCGGCAGACGATCGGGAATCAGCTGACTGATGGTGGTTGGTGGCTGTGAAGGGCTCGCTATCAATCAAACGATTCACGCTATTATAAGTTATATTTCTGTTAACTAGTTGCTAACCACGATAATTGTTTTTTATGTAATAAAAAGTTCTTGTAAAATTGTTGGTGTTGTTGTTGTGCCCAGTTGAATTACATGTTGCTTTGGCGTCCTGGCTTTTACGATATTGGTTACAAGCATAGGTAAGTTTCTATTAATGATTTAATTTAGCGACTCGTTTAATAATTGTTGCATTTTACAACTACTGTTTTATTACAGTGTGTAAAATGCTTATAGAATCTCTAAAACATAACCTTACTTTTGTTTCTCTCATTTTTATACGTATTTATATACGTATTTTTTAGGCTACCTAGTTATTCCAAGCATACTTATTTTCCTTTGTTTTGGCAGTTGTTTTTTATTTAATAAAATGTCTAAAATAACCCTGTCTCGGCGTCATATACTAAGAAAAATAGCACAAAATGTTCAAGATGCTTTAAAGTCAAATCAATTTTTTTTTATTCCCAGTGAAGATAACATTAATAAGGCTTCGGACATTAATATACCATCTGATTCTATTATTTATAATAATTTCTTAGAAAATAATACAAATTTAACTTTGGAGCTTTTAGAAAATATTTCACCTGAAATGCAGTTACATTTTGGTTATATAAATGGGGGTGAACCAAGAGACTTAACCGACCGAACGATTAGAAGTGCTATGCAAGATCGGCTTGAGTTAGCTAAGGCCTGTTTAGGGCACAACACATCCTAAGATTTTAATTTTCATATATATTTTTTGTTAGTTAAAGAAAAGTTTCGTTTAGTTTGTTATTCAGTATTTTAGTGTTTATTTTTTAGTACTTATTTATTTTTTATTATTTTATTGTTTATTTTTTTTTTTTTAATAAAATATTGTTCTGTACATATAACAAGAACAAGTGATCAAAAAAATTTCCTAAATATTTAGACCAATTACAACCAAAATAGAAACACGAGTAATACCTATTTCTAGTGTATACACACCTGCTATGGATAAAATCCAAACTGTCAAGTTAAGAAATATTAACATTTTTCCATTGCCTCTTTTAGAAATTTTGTTTTGATCACTTTATTTAATTTGTGTTTAAAATATATTTAAAATAATATCAGGTAGACGCATTTTACACATTAATAAAATAAGATAAATCTAATATAGACGTATAGTAAAACAGGATAATAAAAGGTAGATAAAGTAGTAATGTTAGACGTATAAAAAATAAAAAAATATACGTTTATAGGGCGGACATTTTCACGTATATATTGGGTAGCATATCAACGGTATACATACGTATATTGTAGTACATAAAAAAAACGTCTTTTATACCAAAGTGGATTCGTATAAATATACTACAACTATAAATCTAATATAGACGTATAGTAAAAACGTATAAATATAGGTGGATAAATTCTTAGTAATCGACGTTTACAAGGCGGACATTTTCACGAATATATTTGGTAGTACATCAACCGTATTCATACGTATGGTAGTACCTAAAAAAAACGTAATTTATACCAAAGTGTGCTGCCTGGGTAAGGACCAAAACAACATTATTACTAGGTTGTAAGTTTAACTAAATTCTGTTTTTTATGAGTCAACCTTTTTTTGATATAAACTTTCTATAATAATGTAGGTTCAATGCACCAGTAGTTGACCATTTCTTCCTAAAATGGAATTAACAAGGACCCTGTTAATTGCTGGCCGTTTTAATGGTTTCGATATATTAGTGTAACCTTTGACTAACCAGTAGCGCAGTAAACGCTTTATATTTCATACAAGGTTTTGTAGTATAGTGGCCATTTTGTGTGTATTTCTGTGTGTTTTGGAGTAGGCAAGGTAAGAGAATACCACATTTTATTTCAATGTTCATCGGAGATCATAAAGATTAAAATATTAGTTTTATTGGTTCGAGTGAAAGCAAATAAGATATTCTAAACCATCCTGTCAGTATTTTTCTTCAAAACCGTCATTTTAGTTTTAAAAAACAGGTGGACGACTACTAAAAAGGTCAGTTTAATATGGTTCTAATGTCTGACCAAAATGGTCAATTACTCGATATTGCATACATGTTATTATTTCCTATCCTTATTGGATCCATAGCAACGGATAAATGTTTGGGGTTTGGTATCTCTCTTTAAAATTGACAATTTCCGGCTCATTCCACTAGTTGATCAGCTACATGCAATGGTCAACTATTAACTCAAATATGTGGTCAATAACTGATTTCTATTTGAATATGTTTTATAATCATTTAAAAACCTATAAAAGGCACTTAATTAACTGATATTTTGGATTACTCTTTCAGCATAATGGAAAATAAAAATAAGGATAATTTCCTGACCGTAGTAGAATTTTATATAAATAATATTGTTTTGATGTTCTATAATTTAAGTACGAGCACTACATATGTTTCGGAATATTTTTTTATCTTCTAGTGCTGCAGTCAAAATTTAATAAAACATGGGGGCGATTACAATCAGTTTAAAATTTTTAGAATAACAGAAACCTATCTTTCTGTGAAGACACCTTGTGGAAAAAATTAAGGCAGACAAAGAAAAGGAAAAGCTTAAGAGAGTCATATTGAAAAGTCCAAATGAGACGAAAATACAAAAAAAAATCGCAAAATAAAAAGCCAAGACCCAAGAAAAGAATAGAAATGATTAAAAAATCTAAAAGAGCCGATTCTCATACTGAAAAAAATTATGAAGAATGGGAAGAAAGTGGTTCTAGCATGGATTATTGATATATCTGATGCAAATTTTGAACCTAGTGACAATGCAAATGATACTCTAGCTACAGTTGCAAAAAAGATTAAAAATGACAACCGGCCTTTAAAAAGAAAATTTTTATTTAATCAAATTATTAGTGCCAAAAATCATGTCTCATCAAATTGATATTAAAATATTCTCGAGATTTAGATTCAATAAAAATAGTTGTCTATTTTCAAGGTCTTGGTATATTACCCTTGAATATTATTCAATGTATTTTTCTCGAAGGCAATTTAATATCTCTAACTTGTAGTTTTAATTTTAACTGATGACAATCATCTATTTAAGAAAAATGTGGCAAACACGGCCATTATTCGCCTAAATATAACTTATAACTGGCAATAAGATAAAATCTCATTTTAATTGGTGAGCCTTTAGTGGAGATCAATTTTTCTTTTAGGTAAACAGTAATTATTTTTAACCTACATCACTTCTTTCAAATTTTTTACTGCATTGTTTATTTTTTTGGATGAAATAGATGGATGGTTGTACCATTTT